GTCGTGTAAATAGTAAATAGTATCTCGTGGCCACGAAATAGTATCTCGTGCGCACCACTTAATTATTTCGTGGCAACGAATTTCTAAATTTTCTAAGTTTAAAAGAATCATATATATCAAATTTATATATGTAGTGTAATCTGATGTAAATTATCTCGTGCACACCACCTAATATGTTGTGACGACATAGTATCTCGTGCGCACGACTTAGTTATCTCGTGGCAACGACTTAGTAACTCGCGGCCACGACATAGTATCTCGTGCGCACCACTTAATAATCTCGTGCCAATGTCTTAGAAACTCGTGGCCACGACATAGTACCGGTATATTGTGCGCAAGAGATAAATAAAACACACACATGTCACCTCTGTGCCACCGTACTTTATAGAAATGTACCAACTATTCAAGCTCAACATCTGAAGGCCAGTGGCAATTCTACGTGTCTACGGTATTTGTCACCACTTGCCTGTACATCTGGTAATTCTGGGCTGACTCAAAACTGATTTTCTGTTTAATCATGCGGACAAAATGTCAAAAAGGCAGAAAAGCGGTCACAGGACACAGCCAACGATAAAATCTTGACGCATGACTATTGCAAGCTAAAACTTCTAAATTTTATTTTTCTGAATAAAGGAAGTGTTGTTGCACAGCTTATAAAAGGCAGTTATCTATTTAATGGAATTTTATTTGTAATTCCCCGTGTAAGTATTAAGATAACAACCATTATATCGGTATAAAAATCTGCATGGTTAATGGCCGAAACGAAGGAAATTAACTTTCCCATCAATCGACGGCGACACCTGCAGCAGGAGGTAAATGATTAATGCCGCTGTAGTGTTGATCACAAACATGACAGATATTTTCATTTCTTTCAGAATACATGTCGGACGTTATACTGTCTGTGGAATTCAGTTGTCATCCATGGCGCATGCGTTATAGTTTTTGAGGTTTTAATGGACTATACACCTCCCCGTAAAGTTGCCCATTTGAAACTTTTAAATGCGAAGTTGCTTAGTTCATGTTCGCCATCTAGTCCTAAGCGCGGTGATATGTGTCCAAAAGTTAAACTCCTAAAACATGAAGTTGAAACTGTTATGAAATATCACCCAAGAGCAGAAAAACTTGTGTGGATTCAAAATAAGGAAGATATAAATGGCTCGACTTTCGTCTGCTGTAATAAGTACATCCTGCACCAGCGATCGTTAGGTTCACTGAAATATCACCCGTGCTCTCTTATGTCTTTGTTAATTATTCTTTTGTTTCTTACAAACGGGTATTGAACATTGTCTTTTGCAAAGATGACTGCAATATGTACATTAGAAAAGTTTGTGAACATTTCTAATCTCTTACTATTTGGAAAATGAGTGGAAATGATAGTGTGTTTTGTTTATGGGAATTTTCTTTTAAAAGTTTGTAAAATCTACTGTAACGGCATACTATCTGCAAGATATACATAATAAATGTTAATATGTTAACACTTGACAATTGCATTTAAACATCGTTCAATTCACGAATCCCTCTGAGATGAATAAAATATATCAGCATAAATAGTGTTATTTATTCTGGTGTTATATTTACTACAAATGGGTGCAGTTATCACGCACCTATGGCTATTGATAATTAATATGGAATTAATCATATTATAGATTTAGTTCATTTTCTATCGAAGCATTTTACAACCGGGTAATAGGGGATGTAAAGGCACCGGAAGTAAACCTATATGTGCGTTAATTTCAGAAACATGTGGCCGCCTTAATTCTCAAAGCATCAACTTGCATGTTTGTTCGGGATTGCAATAACATCGATATATATAAAGTAAATTTGTGACCACGTAGGTAAAGTATGCTTCTGACAATGTTTTTTTTTCTATCCAAAATCTATGTGAAATGGTGGCACACTGGATGGAGAGGTATTTGGTTCATACAATGGTAACTTAATTTTCTTAAGAAATAATTTACTTAAAATGCATATTTATAACTATATTATTATTTGTTTTAAAACGATGCTCTAAATCGCGTTTTTTGTATTATACATGCATATTGCTCAATATGGAACACATATCCACATATGGATAACAACATACGTTACTGTTTTTCAAACAATTGTCCGATCAAGTGTTTGAGTATATATTCATACTTTATTTTTGTCTCATTCGTATACATACATTTTTATACATATATACAAATATTCACATAAAATCTGCATACGATCAATCTATTTAAGAATTTCAAGAGACGTTATATCAATGAGAAACATATTCAAGACCTATAACAGTTACACTAAAAGCAAATAGTTCAATTACAATGTATATAAACAGAATATTAAAAGTTAGGTAACCATTGCTAATCAAAAATTAAAAACTGCCCTAAAAATGATGTAAGAAACTGAAAACTGTAAGTCGGAGCCCTAACGCGCGTCTTAAAAACATTTTAAAAGATCCATTATCATCCAAGATTATCCATTGCATGAACTGATTAGCAATGATTACCTTAACCTAGGTAAAAATACATTATCATGTTTAAAGCAAATACAATGGCATTATTTACAAAGAAATAAAAGACGACGTTGTAGAATGTTAAAACAGGTTTTGGCACAATAACGTATCATTTCAGTTTTAGTGAACAGAAATATTAGTTGTTCATTTTTTGACATTCTTACAAATGCATTATCTACCGTTTTAGCTTTATCAAATAATGATTGTCGCAAGTCATCGTACACAAAGCAATCAAAAATGACATGGCTTTCGTCTTCAATACTGTCACAGGACTGGCATTTTCGCTCCAATACGTCTAAGCCTACGTAACGCCCAGTTTTATGTGTAAAGGCGCGACACCACAACGAAATTTGCTAAATGGAGTGCGATGACAAGGAGGCATAATGAGTGTACAATACAATTCTGTCTCATATTCTGTTTTAAACAGTCGATATGTACGCAACTTTTTGCCACCACGACCAGAAGGACCTGTGACACTATTCAAAGATTCGAGCCAGTTTAAAACAAATTTTTCTTGCAATTTAGTTGTAACAATATTCACTATAGTATGTTTTGGAATGGAAATTCTTATATCACTATTGGAGTGCATTGCAGTTTTTTAACCTATCATTAACATAGAAAAACCAGTTCTTACATGACCTACTTGCTGCAGATGCAGAACAAAGTGCAACTCGTTTGTTTACTCTACAATCAAGCATATAAGACAATCTAGATAAATGAATAGCAATGGATTTCGATTTTGAGTATGTTTTACATCACTATAGATTACATAGTGTTTTGTGCCTATTTGCGGTCCATTTCTTTATCATCATGTCGCATGTTTGAAACGCCTGACCAAAAAACAACAAAACATATTTAAAAAACGACTGCATCAAACAACAAGGCATGAATTGGCAATTATTAAGTATTTTCCCTATTGAACATAGAAGGACCGAAATATTGTGTTATTTAAGAAATAATATATTCAAAACTGATTTTGCTAAAACCGTCGCGCTGAAAACAAGTACGGAAACAAATCAGGCGCAATTTAGCTTAATGTCAGGTACGGCGGCATTTATTTGTTGATGTCGTGTTCGATTCGAACTCGTCATCATCATCATCATCTTCAGTAATCGCCTCACTCTTCATAGAGCATAACCGCGATGAAACTAAAACTATGTACATGCGCAGCAATTGGCTTCCTCTTTACAGTTAAAAGTTGTCTATTTACATATTCCTAAAAAACTGGTAAAACTGGCAATGTGTCTAGTTGGTGGTATTGTGTTTCATCAGCGCCGACTTGAACCCCTCCAAGGTTGGTTTCTCAACAATTTGTATGGGTAGGCGATTCCAGAGATGATGGTGGCCGGAAAGAAGCTGTTCTGGTACACAGATTTCTTATAAGTGAGCTGGCTGAGTTGTTGTGGGTTGCCTCTTGATGTTCTTGCATTACGTAGCGGGGGATCTGGTGTGACATCTACAAGGTCATGCTTGATCTTATAGAGCATGGTGACTCTTGCCATGTCCCGTCTCTTCTGTAGAGTGGTCCAGTGTAATGAGTTTACCATCTCTGTGACCCTGCTCTTGCGTGAGCAGTCGTTCGGATACGCATCGCTACGCTCTCGTGATATAATTCCACGTATCCGAACTCCAAACAGTGCTTTTATTTAGCTATAATACTTCAAGGCGTTCAATTTTCTAAACTTGGCGACCTCATATGGGAGTTAAACCAACATACGTTTTTCTGGAATCCAACATGCCTTTTTAACTGATGCAAATTTCAGTTTCCCCGTGATTGTTGCCGTTTTGTGTTGTAAACATAGATATTTTTACACTATTTTCTATCAGAAGACAAACGCCATTTTACAATGGAATGGGAAATTTCACGAATACCCACGAGTATGGTACATTCTGGCCAGTACCCGGGTCCAAATTTAGTCCAAATAAATTATGCAATAGCAGATATGTATAAACGTTTTTTGTTGTTGTTGTTTTTTACAGATACAACTTACTTATCCTGAAATAAACACCACTGATCCTGTATTGAATCAGCCATTTTGCCGCTGAACTTTAGGCCCAAGGAAATTACAAATGTACTTTTTACAGAATATTTACCCTTATTTAATCAATTAGATAGACATTGGCACTTTCTGGAATGATTTTCTTCTCATCAAAGATAATGGCAATGTAGATTTCATTATATCACAATGCAATACTTCGTGAATTATGTCCGGCTTCAAGTACGATATATATTCAATCTTTGATGACACATAATCATGCAAAGGTTTCGGCTTAACTGTTTGTGTTATGGATTAGAAGGATATTCTTGCGACTTTTGCAGATATCTATTGTTTCCCTGTATGTACATTTGCACGTCCTAAAGAAATCTTAAAAATTACCCTCCTCAAATTTGCCTCCCTATTCAGAAAAATAAACTCTTGACTTTTCAGAAGAGGAGCCAATAAAGAGGTATTGGAAACACTGTAAAAATGTTGTTTTTTATGAAACAGAATCAGTGATTCTTAACTTAAACATCTTTATAATCAACAACATCATCACAACCACTAGACCCATCATCATTGCAATCACAACCATCATCACCGTTACAACAATTATCATCACCATTGCCACCACCACTATCATCACCATCATTATCACCATCATCACCACAACGTTCATTATCCCTAAAACCATTAACATTACCATCACCACCATCCTCATTACCACCACCAACACCACCATCTTTATCAACGCAATGATCATCATTACCTCCAACATCATCACACCACAATTATCATTTCCACCATCATCACCATTACCATCCCGCCACCACCATCATCACCACCATTATTACAACCATCACCACCATCCTCATTACCACCACAGCTGTCATCATCACCACCTACAATCACAACCACCACCATCGACATTACTACCACCACTATCACACCACCAAAACCACCACCATCTTTTCTGCCACAATTATCATCATAATCCCCATTATCATTATCACCTCCACCATCACCACGCATCATCATCATCATGATCATCATCATCACCACCTTTTTTGAGCAATAATTTCTACATCATTTGATAACTGCAGTTGAAGTTCTGAAACTGGTCAAGCCTACCCTTAATAAGGCACTTCCTTAATATTTTCTATTTGGATATACTCGTAATTTACATTTGGCACAGCTTTGGTTAGGCTTCAAAGATTGAATGGCTACACAATTTTATTAGAAGTTAGGCACTATACTTTCTCTAATGCGCTATAGATGTATTTTCACGAAAAATGAAAAGAAATTAAATTTAATCATGTTGAGTAAAATGTATCTCATGTTTCACGAAAACAGGAATCTTCAATATATTTTTTATTTAATGTTCCATGGAAAAAATGATAAAAAAGAATGTTTATAAACATTAATATATTATAGAGGCGCAGTTTAAAAACACAATTTATCGCGCCCGTTTTAATCTATGTTGAGCAAGCATAATATTTCAATTTGTGATTATAAAATGAATAACTGAAGCTTCTGGCTGTCAGAGAAGAACATCTAAGAAAGTAGTCCCTAAAAACAAATTTGACCTGACTACGCCCACTTTCATATTTATATTTAATATTTCTTTTTAACAAATATTAAGTATATTTTGACCGATATAGCACCATATTTCATTAGTAAAATTAAATGAATAGAGATTATTCCTTTAATACAGGATTTAATTTTATCGAGTGGTATGAAAATAAATATTTCATGAGTGGCGGTTTTCTATTGGATATTACAATTTGAAAGAGTTCCCCTTAAATTTCTGTATTGGCTGGATTTAGAAAAAAAAGTATATACAGTCCGGCAAGACAGCAGTGAAAATAAGGAAAATATGTTTCACTGCAGTGAAAAAGTTTTTACAAAATTTTTAGTGAAAATACGGAAAATGAAAATACACATTACCAATATGTCATCAATATTTCTCAATATTTCATTTACAAGTAAATAATAAAAGAAGATATTTTGATACGATTTTCCTTTTTTGCCGACAATATTTTGATATACATGTAATATATTAAATTATTACACGTTTAAGCATAAAATTTTACTTATATATAACGAGTCAATGGATTTCGGCAGAGTTTCGGCTATTGGAGCCAGGGAGTGACCGTTGTACACATTAGAAACGACAGAAAAAAATAATAAAATACGCATGCAAATGGCACATAACATTGTTCACCAATAAAATCATATTTTAAATATCAATGATAGCATTGTCATTCAAGTAATACCATGTGAGTTATTTTCATAGCAACAGACTCCCTACGAAAGTAGTGTACATGTGGCCTAGTCAATGCTATTTAAACAAAAAATGCATTTTTTTTGCTATTTACATTTCGTCAGAAACTATGGATGTATTTCAACTCAATATCTTTTAAACCTGCATGTTTATATTCTTTTTTAATGTAACAATGAAAGAATGTCATTTTAGGCCTACACATAGGTGTCAATAAATTTTACGCCAATAACAAACATAGATCTAAACAACGCCTCGGGTAGGAAGAAATAGCATAAAACTTTTTAAAAGTCTGATTCGTTAAGCTTTACATGATATTATTAATTCATTTGCATAAAAATATTTCAAACAATTTCTCAAGACAAATTTCAATATAAAGAAACATCTAGCGAATGTCAAGTTGCCAACTGAACGGTAATAACTTGAAGTTTGCCGCCAACGTAAAGTAGGTTGACGTCATGATATTCGACGTCATGACAACAAAACATATCAAGGAATGAAAATGGAGGATACAACATATTCAAAAGATGAGCTTGAATTTCGACGGAGTCTTGCTTCAATGCGCGAAACGGGGACATTTTGTGATGCAACGCTATGTATACCTGGGGAGGAGAAAACGTTTCCTGTTCATAGAGCTGTTATGTCAAGCTGCAGTGATTTCTTCCGTTCACTTTTCACAAATGGTCTTCAGGAAACATTGCAACACGAAGTAAAGATTCACGACGTCACATCGAAAGCTATGGAAGTAGTTATTGAATATGCTTATACAAAACAGGTTACCATAACTTCAGACAATGCTGAAGAAATATTTGCTGTTGCGGATCGTTTTAATGTTCTTGGGTTACTAAAAGAATGCATAGACTTTTTCTCTGCAGAAATTTCGCCGGAAAATTGTATAGGTTTTCTTAGATTCGCAAGATATTACAACAACAAAGATCTTAAAAATATATGCTGGGCATACATAACTCGCCATTTTAATGACGTAGTGGAGAAAAGTTTCGAGTACGTGCATCTCAATACTGATGAGCTCAGTGAAATAATTGGTGACGACAGATTGAATGTGAAAACAGAAGACGAAGTGTTCGACGCCGTGATGAAATGGATAGAGTTTTCATTCAGGGAAAGGAAAGAACATTTTAAAACTCTTCTAGACCGCGTAAGATTCCCCTATATTACAGAAGAATGTTTTCAAGACAAAATTGTCCACCGCCGTGATTTAAAACGCGGGCCTTGTTGGGACAGAATTTCCTTATCATATAACCTAGTCAAGAAGTTTCGTTCATCTAAAGATCCAACAGAGAAATCAAGAACCAAAGACCTAGCAAGGTGGATAAAACCAAGAATACCAAGTAGCATCATTTTTGTTTTGGGTGGCTGGGCAAAAGACGGTGTGACTGACTCTGTTGAAACGTACGACCGGAATACTGACCAATGGTTCCAAACTCACGAATGCGAGCTTCCACAACCTAGGGCGTATCACGGGACTATCACGCTACGTGATAACGTGTACGTTGTCGGCGGTTTCAATGGGTCCCATTATCTGAACAGTGTTATTTGTTTCAACGTATCTAAAAAGAGATGGGAGGAACGGGCACCAATGTATATGTCCAGGTGTTACGTTAGTGCCGTAGAAATGAATGGCGTCATTTACGTATGCGGCGGCTACGACGGAAGACAAAGGCACAACTCAGCAGAGAAATATAACTGGGAAAACAACCAATGGTCAATGATAAAATCAATGTACCATCAGAGAAGCGATGCTGGTGCTACAAAACATAAAGGTATTTAAAGTTATTAAAGTTAAATTTGAGGAATGCATCTAATTAGAGGACCCCGAAAGATGAATTGTATTAGCGTTCTTGCTAAGTTTTTGCGGGTAGCAGCCCAGCACATCCTCCCCCTTCCCCCTATTTTTACATATTTATTACTAAAGCTGCAACATAAAATTCAGCATAACACCTTTCGTAATAGAATAATCTAATTCGTGATTTTGATGGTACATGTTGAATATACAACATAGCATTATTCTTTTTAACATTCTGTGTCTTAACCCCTGCGAAATGGGTTTATGAATGTCATGAACTTATTCAAGAACTTCATTAACTGGTTCATGAATACCAAAAAAAATGTCCATCAATTTAGATTCATAAACAGGCGTTTATACATGAACATGCTGAATTTCAAGAACTAGTTTAAGAATTGTTGAAATGGTTCATGAATGTCAGGAAGGGTTCATGAATGTCAGGGAATGGTTCATGAATGTCAAGAAGGGTTCATGAATGTCAGGGAATGGTTCATGAATGTCAGGAAGGGTTCATGAATGTCCGGGAATGGTTCATGAATGTCAGGAAGGGTTCATGAATGTCAAGAAGTGTTCATGAGTGTCAGAAAGGGTTCATGAATGTCAGGGAATGGTTCATGAAAGTCAGGAAAGGTACATGAATGTCAGGGAATGGTTCATGAATGTCAGGATGGGTTCATGAATGTCAGGAAGGGTTCATGAATGTCAAGAAGGGTTCATGAATGTCCGGGAATGCTTCATGAAAAAATGCGGTGATGAAACTTAACATTAACTTTAAATTACACAATTGAACTTAGAATTAGACAATTGAGAAATTTCCAATGCTAGTGACTTCATTAACTCAATATTCATGAACCAGAACTTACAAGCTTAACTGGGTAAATTCTCCTACGTAATTTAAATGTTTAAAGGTATGGCCATCCTATACCATAATGCATTACCTCCTCTCTGAAGAGTACTCAAATAGTTAAATATATTGACACTAAATGCCGTGGGTTCAAGTCACATAATGGTCATCTTTTTTTTCTTTCTTTTTCTTCTTTTAACATTATTAATGTGTCTCTCATATCCCTTTTAGGAAGAAAAAAATGTTAAATTTTATTTATTTAATTTAAATACAAAATGTAGATATTTATCAGCTAAATAATGCTAAATCTTATAACAAATATAGTACCTGTTATTTTCAAAGTGCAATAAAATCAAAACTAGACGGTTAAAGTATTTGATACATTTTTTATTCTACTAGATAAACCAATATACTTCTGGAAAAAAATGGGGAAACTTTGAAAACAGGCACTCATTTTAGTAAATTTTGGGGATTTCTTTAATTAGGTTCTCCAAGTAGGAAACTGGTCAAACACATGTTAAAAATGGATGTGGTAGGGTAACATTTATAAACATATTTCATAAATTTTGAGCAGAAACAATCATTTTGCTTGTATGGATTGTTAGCTGAATGTTACTTTTTGTTTCTTACCAAACATGAATGGGAAAACATTTTTCATAAGGATGATATTGTAGATTATTAAAAGGTTCCTTATTTCTTAAAAGGGCCCTTCTTACATCCAAGATTAAATTCAGAAAAGTGGCCATAACTCGATTTCCGTACGGGCAAGTTTGTTTAAATCAAAGATGGTAATAAGTTCAAGTCCTAAATGTTACTTAGATCACAGCTTAGTTTAGTTTAAACATATTTCCATAAGCTCGACTGTAAAACTCTTACAACTTCTATTAATAATCATTTATCACACACCCAAGCCGCTTTTGCAACTCCGTAAAAATGGTATTGCACAGCCGTGCATATATTTTGACTGATAGCGTAATTTGCGTTATAAAAAGCAGCGCTAAAATTAATGTTACCGTTATACTGAAGGCGCGCATAATATTATTTTATTCAACTAGTTCAATAAATTCAGTTTTAAGTTTACACTCATTCATTATCCTCTGTATCCAAAGTCGCTTCCCGAAAAGATGTTATCTGCAAATATATAGTTGAGAGGGGCTCAAACAAACGATCCCTTGGTTGGGAGGCAAATAACTTTACCACCGTTCCCAGAATATCAGAAACAGAATGGCTAAGTTAAGAACACCCAGACTCTTAATCTAACGGTCGCGGGTTTCGTCTTTCTTAGTTCACACTGTGTTTATTGTTTATGGCACCATGTACGTAACATATGAGCATGCCTATGTACCCAAAAGTAGTTTGATATTAATGGGTCTGCTGGCAAAAAATAATCTTACACAAGTGATGTCACTGCTCGTCGGGCGGTTTGTCCCCTATATTCTTTTATCGGCGCGAACTCAAACAAAACTAAATACAGTCCTGGTAATCTGCCCTGACATTCTGTTCTTTGATTTCGTTTTCAGGGAAGATGTATGTAGCTGGAGGATTTGACGGTCAGAGTTGCTTGTTTTCTGCGGAAGTGTACGACCCTTTGGTTGACCAGTGGACGGTGTTAGCACCGATGTCTACTCGGCGCAGTGGCGTCAGTCTGGTTTCGTGTGACGATAAGATTTATGCAATAGGAGGATATGACGGATCCAGACGGCTAGATACAGGTTTGTTAAATTGCGATGAAATATGAATGAATTTTATTTTATTTTTGTGAATTTATTGTAGATTATTGAAGATTTAATAATTTTAAAGGCAACAAATACTGAAAGGCAACAAATACCGACACTGAACACAATTTGTATTATTTTCCGTACATGCAAACACTGTTCTTTCGATACTGCTTTGCAGTCTTCAAAAAATCACCATTACCTACAAATGAGCCGTCCGTTCTTTCATAAAGCAAAAGCATACAAAACGGAAACGTTTACATCACGCATGGAGTGACTTGCGCTAGATACTCTAAGGACAAATCTGAAACATGATAATAATGATGATGATGATGATGATGATTATATCATTGTTGTTATTCTAGTTGTTGATGATGATGATGATGATGATAATAATAATAATAATGATGATGAGGTTGATGATGAAGATGTTGGTGATGATGATGATGACGACGACGACGACGACGATGATGATGATGATGATTATGATTATGAATTTTGTTTTTGATGCGGTTTCAAATGAAAAAAAAATGCAATGAATTAAATGAAATGATTGTTACATAAATTTTAATCAAATCTTATTATTTGTTCTTTACCTATCTGTTATTTATTAAGTGTAAAACAATTAATTTCAGTGGAGCACTATGAACCTCAAAGAAGACATTGGTACTCCTCAGTGAGCATGATTCTTGGGCGGAGCAACTTCTCCAGTGTCGTCATGGATGAACTAATCTACGTCATGGGCGGATATGACGGTAAGTGATAGGTGCAAATTGCATGCTCTTGATGTATACTCAAAACAGTAAAAACAGAGAATATAACACTAACTTCAGCGTGCTTTTGCTCCATGTTGGTAAAACGTATATTGTATATATGATGTCACGTCAAAATATATGCACGGTCGTGCCATACCGACTTTAAAGAGTCGGAAAAGCGGCGTTTGTTCACGCTGCCACTGGTAATGCATTATATTAATTTTCTTTCTTAAAGGAGTGTTAATCATTTTATTGTAAAAGATTAAATATGCATACATAGCGATTCCTAATTCATGATGTAGGTTTTTGCATGCATATGTGTAATGCACGAACAGAACTCTGTCTATAAATAATTTAGGATGAGAAGCGCAAAAACGACTTTAGCTCGAGCCAACAGATTGTGCTACACCACTTCATGACAGACTACTCTGCGTCTAACTTAATAATCTTTAATTTCTATACAATGTCATACTATAAATTGTACATGTATACGGGACTCCATTTCCATTAGTTTACATACATCATTTCAGAACAATATTGGCAATCTCGAAAATAATGAGTATTGGCAATCTCGAAAATAATGAGTTAAGTCTTTATAGATCATTACATTGTTACATTAACAGGAGAAAAGACATCACCGGAAGTTGAGTGTTACAATCCTGTAAAAAAGGCGTGGTTCGCTATGAATGACATGAACATTGGTCGGAGTGCAGTCAGCGCATGCGCAGTCAGGGACATTTACAATGCGCGCGACTTCAGTTTTCACGGTAACGCAAGCTTGTGTTCAACATTAGAAACCAAACTGAAAACCCCGACAAAAACCGCAGAAAATGTCGAATTTGCTGGAAGATTCGCAAAGTGGAGAACGTCCCCTCATTGCAGCAGATTGAGTGATACCTTTGAAACTATGATATAAAACCATAACATATACATGTATTAAAAAGCGTATAAATAAAAGCAGAGTAACTAAATTTTAAAAAATCGCGGTATTGTATCTATCCCCCTGACTGATGTCATTTTCGGATTATAAAGTCAGATTTGTTTCTTCCGGTCACATGGATGCATATTTGCTTGTCACAAGACACGGAAAAAAGGCTATTTAATCCGAAAATTGCCGAGTTCAGGATAGATGGATTACCTTTATTATTCAATTGCAGATGATTATTAAATAACCTGTTAAATGACTTTTATTTCAGCCTCAAATATTTGGTAAAAAACTTCTTCTTTTTCCAGAAAATTGTGAAACGGAAGTTAAGTTAATGCATAGTTTCATTGTTTATATTAGAGGAGTCTAAATAATTACAAATCCACTATGAAAATTTGTAGGTATCGTACATAAGAATACTGGCGTCTTTTCGTTGATAAACATTTATGAATTTGCAAAACATTGAAAATAACAGGAACATCTTTGTATTGCCTTCAAATTAATAGCTTTGAACACTTACAACTCATAACTGTGTCTGGTAAATCACTTATTGTAAAATCATGACAGACAATTTAAGGTTTTAGAGATTTATTTAACATTGGTATATCATTTTGAATTTCATATAAAAATTAAAAAACAAAAAAACAAGCAATGAATATTAGAAAAATAAAATAATACAAGATATAAAATGTTTTGTTTGATTTATAAACATACACGTTAAACATATTTCAATACCCACTGTTTGTTTTGTAGATTTAAAGGTACTCATTAGAGCAGTGAAATATATTCTATATCAATAAAAGTTACAGTTGTAAATCACTTGATGTTATTTTTCTCAGTTTCGATAGAAATTGTGATAACATTTATGAATATTGAGAAAAGTCATTCACAGTGAAAGGTTGCTAGACTTTAATCGAGCTTAACACTTTTAGAAGTCAGTTTATACTGCTCAGGAACATATATCATAACACACATGTTCCCTAAATGAAGATCACACTGTGCTTGAACACAATATTATATTTAAACCGTTTTCTTCAAAATATATCCTTCCCGTTCCATTTTTGAACTGAGGACCTCATAGTTTAATATTGACCGAGCAGTCAGCCCGCAAACATTTAAAGGGCCAGTGCCTTAAGTCCTCAGAGTCGGCGTGAAACCAGGCTTAATCTTATTTCTCATGCTTAAGTGTAAGGAAGAAGTCCATCTCCGCCTTTCAGGAATGACCGAGTCACGGACCCCATGCGTTAGCAATACCCCAATGCTTACTCGACAATTATCTTTTCTTCCACATTACGTCAAGTAACGTGTAAGCGGAACACAGATCTATACTCGATTCCGAACCAAACGTCTGATAGTGTAAACATTACTGTTACATACATCCTCAATTCATTTACTACTAAATTCAGATCCAATTAAATAAACTGACGATCGTTTTGCACACAAGAGGGAAAAAAACATTAAAAAATATAACTGAAATTGTTTTTCCCTAGCTAAAATTTAAATCTTTGTGACATTTCCTATAGGGATTTCTTTGACAATTAATTTAACATTCAGACTATTGTACACATAAAAAACAAATGTAGACAAATACTGCTAATATAATGCAAATATTTAAAATTACACACGTCTTATAATTATAACATATTGAAAAGAATATAATTTATATAAATACATACTGGTTATATAACATGTACAAAATGAGACGTCATGTGACTCGAAAAAAAAAAGATGAATGTACATGTACTCATCAGATCTATTAATATGACGCAGACATGCTTTCATTTTAATTTAATTTCTTTAAAACATTTTATTTTTGGTTATCTTGTTGCAGTTCTCAAAATATTACTCATTTGCCATATAGAATACAGCACCTTTTGCTTCTGTTGTTCTGTTACACCGTGTATATCCAGTATCGCGGAATGTGAAAAAATGCACGATTCCTGCAATAGGTAACGCAGAATTGTGCAATAAATGGCGGATACCTGACAGGATTTCCAACGCGGTAATATATTTTTATTTAACCGAACTGAAAAAAATCAATAGCCCCATACGGCTGTGAAGACATAACTCTTTATCCCTCATCAAGATTATTTCCACGAAATTGTTTACTTTTCAAGATCATTTGTGAAAATGATGGCTTAACCACCATTTTGAGCGAGATTTTGACTTTTGTCGGTTTCTAAAAGTACAACAATGCATATTATTCCGTATAATTTCGATTTACGGTAGGCAAGTGACATAAACCTAACTTCTTGTGATATAGAAAATTGAAAATAATCTGATAAAAATCTGATTCAAGCCGTTTTAGATGAGCGATAAAGATTAACGTCTTGTCTTTGTAGCCTTATGCAGCTATTCATTTTTTCATAAATTGCACAATTCTGCGTTACTTATTGCTTGAATCGTGCGTTATTTTCACATTCCGGCGTTACTGGATATACACGGTGTGTTAGCAATTGATAAAACTATAGTGAATTAGTATTGTGTATGGAAGTCAAAATATTACTTTGATTACATTTTGTCACCTTTACGTAACATTTACTGCACATTCAGTGCTATTTTCTTTCAGTTGTTAAAACATTTAACACACTTTAAATCTACTAGTAAAACAGTTTAAACACATGTTTGACAGTTCAAAAGAATTTAAGAATATGGATTACCTAGGCATAATGTGCCTTTAACTTTGTGTGAATAAATCAAACACTATCTGACATAGTTACATTAAAATATAATTCAAATCTTATCAATGTTTTACTTATCAAATGTTGTGCCTCCTAATTCCGTGCAAGTTCATTACTGAATTTATTAAACTGTTGAATAAAATAATATCAAGCTGTCAACAGAGGCTGCATATTATAATTTTATTCAACTCGTTCAATAAATTCAGTACTAAACTTTCACTCATTCAATATCCTCTATGTATTTTACCAGGCCATAAAAAATCTAGTTCACGAGCACAAAAATAATGTACAAAAACTAAAAAAATATCAAACAAAACTCAGGAAACAATTTTACATAGTTCAACCTATAAATAAAATGACATATGCTCTCTAAAAATGATTGGACTGTTTTCTTGATCAATTTAATCTCCAGTAAACAAATATTTAACTGGAATTGTCCTGTACAATATCTAGGCCTTCAGAATGAATACATCTTACACAAGATTGCATTGATATATAGATTACTAATCAGCTAAAATCAATTAGCTAAAATCAAACAGATCTGAACAAGGCGAATAATGAAAGTTAAAACATAACATCAAAGTATAAATATGACAGTTAAATAATGACATGGTCCATTCTGCAAATTACAATTTACAGATTAACTTTGTGTTCTGGTGGCGCCGTTGGCATGGTCTCAGTTTCCGTATATGGAGGCGGGGCTTCCCCGAAACCAGGCGTTGACTGCTGGGGATTGTAAGGCTGCGCATAACCTTGTGGTGGTGGCTGATATCCCTGTTGTTGCGGGGGTGGATACCCTTGCTGTGCAGGAGGATATCCCTGTGGTTGCTGTGGCGACGGATAACCTTGCTGTGGCTGTTGGCTGTATCCAGCGTAAGTTTGCGCTGGTTGAGAGGCAGGATAGCCGTACTGGTATCCTGCGCTTCCTGGCTGCACCACAACCGTAGTTTGGGTACCACCAGGTCTGAGCACTGTTCCGCCTCCAACTGGATTATCGTGGTAATATTCAGCTGGAATAAATGATTACAAAAAATCTATACATTTTCAAACATCTATACAAATGCAAAAACAGTTTATCAAAAGAGCTGTCCTAGGAGTAGCCTTGGATTCAGGCGCTGTTATATTTTGTTTAAGAAATTATATATCCCAAACTGTGATTTTATCGTTCAATAAAATCACTGTTTGGAGTCGTGATATAATTTCTCTCATCCGAACTCCAAACAGTGATGTTACTGAGCGATAAAATCACTGTTTTGGATATATTATTTTTTAAATAGCACACACTTTCGGTTTTTCTATGTTCAATAGGGATAACTGCCGGTCAGGTTAGCATTATTCATAACATAGCGCTATGTCATACTCGTTCCTGTTTTGATAATTTTGATTTGTCGAACAGAAGCACATAAAAATGACAGACTGGAACCCAGGCTGGCCTAGGCACAGCCTGCTCCACAACTGCACATTTTCTAAATACCAGGTAAAGATCACAAAGACATTGACGTTTTGATCCAAAGATAAGTCACAATGTTGACAGAACAAATTCTACTATAGAGCAACAGATCTTATGAAGATTAACTCACATATTTAGTCTCATAATTGAAGTTATTGACCATAAATAAAAACGAACTTAATCCATTAAGTAAACAAAGGTCATTATGCCCCCACAGAGTGGGAGCATATAGCGTTGCACTTGTCCGTCCGAGTGTCCGTACGTCTGTCCGTCCGTCCGTCAGTCCGTCTGTCTGTCCGTACGTCCCGAAATCTTGTGAAAGCAACTCCTCTTAAACCGGATGGCAGATTTTGCTTAAACTTCCAGGGATGAACAACCTTAATGTGTAGATGGTAGTAAAGGAAGGAATATTTGCTGCGATTAAATTTAATAGAATTATGACCCTTTGTTGATTTTTTCACTATATACTCTGTAGAAATTTTGTGAACGCAACTCCTCTTAAACCGGATGGCAGATTTTGCTTAAACTTCCAGGGATGAACAACCTTAATTTGTAGATGGTAGTAAAGAAAGGAATTTTTGCTGCGGTCAAATTTAATAGAATTATGGCCCTTTGTTGATTTTTTCACTATATACTAATATGTAGAAATTTTGTGAACGCAACTCCTCTTTAACCGGATGGCAGATTTTGCTTAAACTTCCAGGGATGAACAACCTTAATGTGTAGATGGTAGTAAAGGAAGGAACTTTTGCTGCGACCAAATTTAACAGAATTATGGCCCTTTGTTGATTTTTTCACTATATACTATGTAGAAATTTTGTGAACGCAACTCCTCTTAAACCGGATGGCAGATTTTGCTTAAACTTCCAGGGATGAACAACCTTAATGTGTAGATGGTAGTAAAGGAAGGAATTTTTTGCTGCGACCAAATTTAACAGAATTATGGCCCTTTGTTGATTTTTAGTTTTCAACTTGTGGCACATGTAGTCCAAAAAATATTTGACCTAGAGTCATAAGATTGACAGAACAGTGGCGTGTGGGGGCATCCGTGTCCTATGGACACATTTCTAGTTTTTACAGTGATTTATGAGCCTTTGGCCTGACATTGGAATGGCAGATAGTACTCATCAAGGTGCATCTACGTACATACAAAAAAGTCTTAAGTCAATGAACTTTGCTTGAATTGCCAGTTGTACTTTTTGTGAGAATCTACTACAGTTCCCAGAAACTCACAAAAATCAAAACACCTTTGACGTTTGTTAATTGAAAAATGGATGTGGGAGGCGGAACTTATCAAGGTGTAGTCACATAATAAGTTTCAATGTAAAACCTTTTTTAATATAGAGGTTGACCATAAATGAAAACTTGACCAAATGAGGGAATGATCTGAAAACTTTCACACAAGTTATTGTTCCAGATGTACAATAAATGATACACCATAACTCGGAAAATTATTTTCAGTCACGATATGTCAAAATGCCTTAGTGGAGTCCCTTTAATAGGTCAGGATCTCACAAGTGTGACCTGTTCTAGAACAATACATGGCAGAAAAAAAACCAAAAGACCTTCCTCAAATATTCTATTCAAAGGTAACATAATGTCAATATGTCAGCACCATATTCTCTGATCACACTCCTATACATAACGAATATTCTTTTTGTCCGATTCTATTTGTACATGCCACTCATGCATTAAATAGTGCAAAATACAAAATGTATAAACTCCAAGTTAAAATCATTATATTCATAAATTATATTTACAACCCTGTTATTCAAATCGCTACATAAAGCTACATAAACCAACAAGTTGTACTTCCTTGTAAAGAGTAAGTATATCTTCTGTTATGAATTCTCTAACTTTGGCTAACTTTCTAGGTAAACCGACAAAGTTCTCCTGATAGCTTACCTCAGTTAAAGGGAGAATCTAATGTTTGTAACCATTTAAATATACACACCTGACATTCCTAGGAAGAAAACGCCCCATACACAGCTCCAGATCCACCCTATTAACAACAACACCGTGAGTAGAAGTTGTAATAGGCCTATCCCGAAACTAATACAACAACTTCCAATCTGTGACCCCGCTGACATGTCCTCATTCCTAGAGCAGCAACAAACACTGAGACCCGCTAATATTGTACCTGCATAATACATAATATAGAATCACAGACGCTTGGGGTTTGGAGCTCAAAACGCCTTTAAAATTCAAATAAAATGCATATTTGTCAATCCCAGCACATGTACTGATCATATATATCAAAAAATCTTAATATATGCCGTTTTGAAAAAAAATCATATTTCAACATCTATAATAATACACAAGATAAAAATGTTCGCCGGAAAAAATCCGCACCCCTACCGTCATAATCACCATGTATTTTAATCCATTTCCAATATTTTCACATAATCCTTTGGTCCATCGACACAGAAGATATAATTCTTCACGATGATGGTCAATTTTAAACTTCAACGGTAATATAAACAACGCAACAGCCGAAATAAACATCAATATTCTCGCCGTTTTTTTTCAACGACAAAAACTTTCGATAAATTCAATGGACCAGACGGCTATGAACGAAGCTATCCGATTACGTGGTTCCCAAACTTAAAAGCGCTGCGCATTTTGCACACGGCAAAGCTGGGGCCACATAATCGGAAAGCTTCGTTCATAGCCGTCTGGTCCATTGAATTTATCGAAAGTTTTTGTCGTTGAAAAAAAACGGCGAGAATATTGATGTTTATTTCGGCTGTTGCGTTGTTTATATTACCGTTGAAGTTTAAAATTGACCATCATCGTGAAGAATTATATCTTCTGTGTCGATGGACCAAAGGATTATGTGAAAATATTGGAAATGGATTAAAATACATGGTGATTATGACGGTAGGGGTGCGGATTTTTTCCGGCGAACATTTTTATCTTGTGTATTATTATAGATGTTGAAATATGATTTTTTTTTCAAAACGGCTTATATTAAGTTTTTTTGATATATATGATCAGTACATGTGCTGGGATTGACAAATATGCATTTTATTTGGATTTTAAAGGCGTTTTGAGCTCCAAACCCCAAGTGTCTGTGTATAGAATGGGTATCAATCAAAATCTTACCTCGCAATATGTACTAAAATATTGGTTTATATTTAGTCAAATTACCCTCCGTGAATTATTGCAGGGTGAATAACATCTTGGCAAACATACCTACCATTCACCCTTTGTAAGGTAACTACATGTTTGTATATTGATGTCATTATCTTGCAAGATAAAAACATTGAAAGTGTCCATCCACGGCAGCGATCAGCAAATATTTCAAGGAATCTCAGTTCAAAAATATTATAAAACGCATACAAGTTACTAAAACCAATTCTAAGTATCATAAAATATATGCCTAAAATGCTGGCGTTTCATCAACCGAGAGTTGTGCTTGCTTTTGGTATTTTTCTTCTATAATTGAAGAAATAATTACAGCTAAAGACCCAATATGAGTATACAGTACTGTAGAAAAACGTATCGGGGAATTACAGTACTGTGAAACAGTATCGGGGCAAGTCCAAATGGAAGGTCGAGTCCCGAATTTTTTTTATTACAGAACCGTATATCCCGTATCGAGTCGGTAACTAAAACTGTAATGGCTATACCGTCCTCATCTATTCATCATCATTTAGCAAAGACAAAATATGTATTTGTAAAATTTGAATTTTTATCTTGTCCAAAACAACCGATGAGAGTTAAGTGTTTTGTAGTCATTGTGATATAAATAACGCATGATAAAGTTATGCTTCATAAAACTGAATAACATCATCGACTCATCACCATCAACATCTTAATGTCATTCAGCAGAAAAATTTCCATATATTTACTGTATGTTATAAATTTCAGATTTGTTTTGGAATAAATCAATGTTATAATACCATGTGTTTGCAAAATACACCTGCAAGTTATTGCATATTTTAAATCTATATTGCCAAAAACGTTTGTGTATTACATTTGAAATTTACTCTTATGTTTGCTTAACTTTCTGAGAACAGTTTAAAAATCTTACCTAAACCTGGTACCAGAAAGTTAAGAACACAACATAAGATAGCAAGGGGCATAGGCATAGCTGGTACAGCAACTCGCTCCGTCTTTCCACGCGCCATTCCCATCCCGAACCCCTGACCTTCTCCAAAGCCCATGGTGGTGTTACTTTCGCCTCGATGCACACCAAATTAGGCTCGAAGGAAAACTGAAGTGTATGCATAAAAAAACGGAAAAAGTATCAATCATGTATCAATTAAAGTAATATTTTGTAAGTTCAATTGCAATTAAAACCAGACCAGTTTTGGCAATCTATATCAGTGGGGTGATGCGGGGTGATCGATGTCAGGTTTATGCTATATATAATTCTTCGATAACACAAAGCAGTAGGCCCCAGGGCCGGCAAAATCAATTACCCGTAACGCCCAGGTTATCCCACAGTTTGTACGGACAACGGAAAATTTCAAGAATTAACTATGTAAATATCACATGGACGAGTTAAAATTTGCTTCACATAAAAACGTCAAAATCAGATTTTGCCGGCCCTGATCTGGCCTATAAATTGTTTTCCGGAAGGTAATTTCTCACATTTTTGCGAAAAAACTTTTTTTGGATTGAATGGAATGGTTAATAGATGGCTTCCAACCATATTGTCACATGAAAGACTCGAACTCGTGAATCCAATGTAGTACAATCAGTGCTTTTATTAGCAGCGCCAATTGTTACGGCCTGACCGCGCATACTACTAGATCTAGTGTGGAAAAAAAACTCGGTATTGATTTATGCTCTGAAGTTCTGAACTATAAAAAAGATCAGAAAAGTTAAACATTTTTAAGATCACACTGACTGGACCGCAGTTATATACAATGTGTACACATATATAGCCTCGGGGTAATGTTCACTAATTAAGCTTAAAACGTAGACATTAAGCCATTCAAAAACGTAGACATTAAGCCATTCAAGACCCTATAACATCAGCTGTCTGTCTGATCGATGCATCATGCTTAGTCCAAATAATTAGCCATAAAAAGCATTACTGGTATATTTATCATTGTGACATTTTACTTTTGATATTATCAAGGTTTTTTTCAACGTAACATGGAAAATAAAAAATGTTAAATATCAGATTAATGAAGTAGTCTGAGGATGAAATAGGTTACGTTAATTAAGGCCTTAAAATAAGGACTAATCGATGCAGTGTTTATACAAATACACAAACAAATATGAATGTACATATAGACATGTCATAATCTAAATATTGTAAATTAACTAATGCACATCTTGAATAGATCTATCTTAAACTGTTAAAGTAACTCATAATTATATTAATAGATCTATTACAAACTTGTCAGTTCATTGGTGCAGAACCGAAATCAATTACGGTTAAATAAGTAATAGAATATTATAAATACTGTAGTTACCGTGTCCAAAGTAAATGTATTGAGTTAGAAAATACCTGTTTAATCTAGATTTGTACGTCTGAAAACCACATCATATTAAACACTTAACAACCCTCAAATTCACTGGTATAATCCGAGTTTCGTTTTCGTTCGTAGTACAAACTGTGTAAACATCAATGTTTATATCAATAACTACACGGACATGCAATGTGTGAGGAATTTATGTCATACTGTGTTGTATTTATAAATAGAAATGAAGTAGTAATAAAGGGAAGTAACCTGTGTAATGATATCACTTCAATAAATGGCGGGAAAATCACTTTTACACGCGCATTTTACGTGCATTAACTGACGGTGATTTATTGAAAATTATATGAGTCATCTACAGACCAGTACAGTAGCCTCCATAGATCTAATAATTTCGTTTGCAAAAATCTTTTTCACAGAATATTTTAATATAATTTTTCTACATATCTGTAGATCTAGATAACAGTTACTACTAGATCTATATAAATCACTGGCTCATACATGATCTACAAGACTTAAATTTACATAAATTGTTCAATTTTAAGGAAGTATATTTTGTGACGTCATTAGATATTGTATGTGACGTCATGAAACATAACCTTCAATTTTACAGGGATAAGCTCTACTGTATCGGTAAGTAAAATTGAAGTTAATTGTTTGAACAACTTCAAGCCTTGTAGAGATAATGTTCTGATGTGAATTTCTGTTACATCTTAAAATATTAAGATGTCCCGTTAGGGCCACCGCGATACACTGTGTATGTGACACCTACTTGAAACAACGAGAAGTCAAAACACGAAATTACGATGACGAATAGCCGAAAAAACGAAATCACGATGGTGAATAGTCGAAAGTAGGCTACGGTATGAAAAGCTGAAAGTACGATAGTAAAAAGTAGAAAATAACAAACCACGATGGTGAAAATTCGATTTAATTTTGGACTTTCACTATCGAATCGATACAAAGTTTTCGACTTTTAAACATTGTATTGTCGACTTTTTACCATCGTGGTTTCGTTATTTCTGCTTTCTCATCATCGTCCTTTCAACTTTTTATCCTCGTCTTTTCTGACTTCATCATCGTAGTTTTGTAATTTCAGCATCGTACCTTTATATTTTCACCATTGTAGTTTCGCTGTCTGCTGAAGAGATCTTAACAATGGATGACTACAGTATATTTTTCTGTACGAAATCTGCTGTGGTCATAGTATTATTTTTACAATAGCTTTAGCTCTTGCATTTGGTTTGCTATTTCTAATCATGGTCATGCAACTACATAGTTAAGTAAAGAAGCAGGCGCTTGTTTTGGTTGAGTCTATTATGTTTTGTTTAGGGGGTGAGTTGTCATACACAAATTTACAATTTATATGCATTTATTTTTTTCCAATGATTGTTATTATCTTAAATGCTTCTGGGTTTGTTATTATCTTAAATGCTTCTGGGATTGTTGTTTTATCAATTCATTTGTAAATAAGATTGTTATATGTCTATTAACGGAATAATTTTAATGAACACGAAATTTGTTCACACCTTTATGTGTATTGATAACGTGATGGTTTAAGCCAATGAAAACACATCAATATTATTACAATCAGGCAGAGAAAAAGTTTGCAAAGAGTAAATCGATAATCTTTATGTAGCAAACAAACTTTAAATTGCAAGTATTTTTTCATATCTTTTCGGCAGGATAAACTGTCCGAGGAGGGCCAGGCATTTTCGTATCGTAAAATGGCTGCCATTTACAGTATCAAGTGCCAAGCACCATCGCGACTTTGCGCGGGAATTATAAATATAGCTAACGTCGCATAGGATGAAAAATACCTTTTTCATATTTTGTTGTAATAAATATTTTCAAACTGTGTCTCAATATATAACCAATAATGATGTTAATATGAATATATTCATATCTCAAATCTGTGACTATGACTTACAATGTATAAATTCTACCTTTAGTGTATTAAAAAGGTTTTTAATTTCCTGTAATTTTATTCTGTGATTATGCTTCAAAGCAATTGACCGTGAATTTTCTTTTCATATTTTGATTTCCTTGAAATCATTTTTCTCATCTGAAGGCATGCAACTTTAATATGATGATACATTAATTACATTCCATGAAAATGTTTAAAGATATAAAATATCTCATGACATGTTTGTTCATTTTACATTACATTGCAGCAAACATATAAAGTCTTCACAAAAAGTAGTATGCAATCGTACCTATATTACATACGAATGTATGTAATATTTTTCTTGTTTACCAAGGATTCAATTACAAAGAAATGATAATGTTATGAAGTGCGAATGCTTAACATGGAGGCAAAACTACGATGGTGAAAAGTCGAAGGTGCGATGGTGAAAAGTCGAAGAAACGATGGTGAAATTACGAAACTACGATGATGAAAAGTCGAAACCACGATGATGAATGGTCAAAAGTACGATATTGAGAAGTCACAACAACGATGTCGGACTTAATTACATTCGACTCATAATTATCCTTCCTAGTGCATGATCATTATTTTACATATAAAGTCAGGGGTTGGATGATGATAACTATAAACTACAGTCATATTTTGGGGCTCTAAGAAATATTTCAGTATTACATGTACATGTACTTCCGTTACAATTTGTGCGTGTCGAAAACTTAATATTTAGTTTAGGATAATTTTTACATCTATATGTAGACTATAGCTATTAAGCGTATGAGAACCTTTTTAGAGAAGTATACCTGTTTACAAATATATCACGTTCGTGGTCAATATACCTATCGTTTTAAATTACAGAGTAGTTTAGAATCGATACAAATCAATAATTAAGATCTTTGTTTTTTAGGCCACACTGATTGATATATAGGTAAAATCACAGCCAATGCTTTCTTCCAAGATATATGCGATATCAATCGGCTTTCTGGTGCAAAACTTCCAAAAATAAACTGATATCATACGAAATGTATTGTATACAGATTCACAGATGAATAAGCATTATATTTACAGCTTCAACATAATATACGAGATGACACTAATTTGTTCATAAAGATTGGTATCATTAAAGGCACATCATACCTCAGAAAAGAATATTTTTTATCCTTCTTTAGAAAGAATTAACATGGCTTTGCAAGTAATGGTCTTAGCATGTTAGATGCTTATCATTTAAAGAAAGCAACAGAAGCAAAAATGACTCAAGTAAATGGCCATTGAGTAACTTTTTGGAAACTATAACAGAACAACAAATGAACAAAAATGAAAAGCTGTCTTTTAGAAATAGAAAAAAAGAATTTTGCAGTACATTATGGGCCTTTAAGAAAACAAACCGATATAAAAAAACACTCCTGAATCGCATTCTGATAATCTGATAATCATGACTGTTGCAAATAACAGATAGATAAGTTAGCTAAAAAGTCTTTATTCTAAAAAGGTCAATTATTGTTAGATGGGTCACTCTAACAGCACGGAAAGATCACACAGCATAGATTGATAACATAGGCTCAGCATAGGGTGATCACTCAGCATAGTATTATCACTTATCAGAGGGTGATCACTTAGTATAGTATTATCACTTATCAGATGGTGATCACTTAGCATAGTATTATCACTTATCAGAGGGTGATCACTTAGCATAGTATGATCACTTATCAGAGGGTGATCACTTAGTATAGTATTATCACTTATCAGATGGTGATCACTTAGCATAGTATTATCACTTATCAGAGGGTGATCACTTAGCATAGTATTATCACTTATCAGATGGTGATCACTTAGCATAGTATTATCACTTATCAGAGGGTGATCACTTAGCATAGTATGATCACTTATCAGAGGGTGATCACTTAGCATAGTATTATCACTTATCAGAGGGTGATCACTTAGCATAGTATGATCACTTATCAGAGGGTGAGCAGTATAGGGTTATCACTTATCAGAGGGTGATCACTTAGTATAGTATTATCACTTATCAGAGGGTGATCACTTAGTATAGTATTATCACTTATCAGAGGGTGATCACTTAGCATAGTATGATCACTTATCAGAGGGTGATCACTTAGCATAGTATTATCACTTATCAGAGGGTGATCACTTAATATAGTATTATCACTTATCAGATGGTGATCACTTAGCATAGTATTATCACTTATCAGAGGGTGATCACTTAGCATAGTATGATCACTTATCAGAGGGTGAGCACTTAGTATAGGGTTATCACTTATCAGAGGGTGATCACTTAGTATAGTATTATCACTTATCAGAGGGTGATCACTTAGTATAGTATTATCACTTATCAGAGGGTGATCACTTAGCATAGCATGATCACTCAGCACAGACTGATAACACAGGCTCAGCATAAGACGATCACATAGAATGATGACTTAGCATAAAATGATCACTTAGCATAGAATGATCACTTAGCATTGAATGATCACTCAGCATAGTATGACCACTTAGCATAGAATGATAATATGATCAATAAGCATAGAATGACCACTTAGCATAGAATGATCACTTAGCATAGAATTATTAATCAGCATAGAGTGATCACTTAGCATAGAATGATCATATGATCAATAAGCATAGAATGACCACTAAGCATAGAATGATCAATCAGCATAGAGTGATCACTAAGCATAGAATGATCACTAAGCATAGAATGATCTTATGATCAATAAGCAATGAATGACCACTTAAAATAGAATGATCAATCAGCATAGTATGATCCTTTAGCATAAAATGGTCAAACGGCATAGAATGAGCACTTAGCATAGACTGATTTCTTAGCATAGAATGACCACTTAGCATAAAATGACAACTAAGCATAGAATGATCAATCAGCATATAAGGATCAATCAGCAAAGACTGCCTATACACACAATAGACTGATTAGACAACACAGAGTGATCACTCAATATAGATTGATCCATAAACAAGAATGGTCAATAATTATCGACTGGCGACCTAGCATACAATAGTCAATAAGCATAAAATGGTCAGTTACTATTGATAGGCCACCTAGCATATACAACTGTCAATACACGTAGAATGACTCAATTACTTTGTCACCAAGCATAAACAATGACCAATAAGCAATTGTATAAACTAAATGACCAATAAGCATACATAGATAAGTCAGAATAGTCAATAAGTATAGAATGATTAATAAGAATACTAGTAGACTGGCCTCTGAGCATGGAATAACCGCTTAACACAACACGTAAACTAAACTTATCATTGAAGATATAGCAATAATACTTACAACAGAAAAAAATCATTCCACTGCTGGTTTCAACATAAATTGCATTTGCCATACATAGATCAGATTGTAATTGTCTTTTAAGGATAACATTTTTTTTATCTCGAATTTCGAAATATTTTATTTGGTATAGTAAACATTTTATGACGATAAATATTCTTTGGATGTGATGTAAATGCAAATTCACTCACGTTATGAAAAGAGTATTCATAAAAAGTCAATTGTTCAAAAATCTATTCATCATGTTGGTTTCGTTTGACTAACCTGGATGTAAAAACATTAGTTTTCCATGACCCTTTTCTGTAAAGTAAATATCACTTAAATGAATATTATAAAATGTTATACAGCACTACAATAAATACAGCTAATCTCTCGTGTAAACTGTCTAAATTGATTCTAAATTAATTGTATTTTAACAAAGAAAGTTTAGCTTAAAGAATAACAATAGAGGTAAAAATCTTAAATATTATTTTATTAAAAAAATGTGACTAACACAAGTATTTTTATTCAATTGGCCTTCCGTGCAGACGATATTTTTCACCCTCTTCAATGTGTATTACGGTGTGCAATATAACGAAACGTTTATTGGCAATTACCGTTCTTTTTCTGGTCGATGCTAGAATATCTGATGCCATGCTAAAAACCATAATCTTCACTTCTTCAAAAATGTATTGAAATGGTTACATATTGTTATCTTATTTTTTCCTTTTGTACTGTAGTTGGTGCTTAAAGAACTTTGTAATTGTTTTTATTTTTCATTCATTGCTTATCTTTCATTCAAATAACATTGTTTTATTGTAACATTTTCAACAATTTGCATTTATAACAGTAAAATTTATTAAAAGCAACATTTACAACATTTTTTATATTTGTTCAATCAATATCTGAAGAGCTAATCTTAATTTGTTACGCCATTGTTTTCATGCACTTCAGGCTATATAACAGGGACTACGAACTTTTTTGACTAAATACCCGTTTGAATGTTGAAAAGTACATTCTCATTGATAAATCATAAAACGCAACGGCATTGACCCCAAACTCTGCAAGTATCCAACATGTAAACGGTATACAGTACCGTATGGCTACCGCTATATATCAGTGTATCATATACACCAGTGTGACAATACCCGGTTCAATAATGTGTTACATGTATTTTTAGGTTGACATTGGCAGGACTTGAGGCATATTTACATTGGATTTCTGTTACTTGCCGAGAGTCAAGAGAAACATGTGTTTCAAAGTTAAATGCGAAAAATGTGATAAGTTCACGTGGCAAGGTAGGCGTTTCCCATTTTGTTTCGATTTGTTTAAATTGTCAGGTTTTAAATTGAGATTATCAATATTCTACATGTATAAACAGTGATAAGTCATGCAGGAATGAATGTCTATTTATAACTGATTCATACCTTTGTATACATGTGTCAAATTATCGCAATTAAAAGTGTACTAATTACCACAGACTCTTGGGGTGTGGAGCTTAAAACGTCTTAAAAATCCAAATAAAATATATATTTAGAGGTTAATACTTGGTTGCTGGCCTCGGATTATGCGATTAATGGCCCCGAAGATGTTGCAATAATGGCCTGAGGCCGAGGCCCGAAGACCATTTATGGGACTCCGGAGGGCAATTATCGCAAATGCCGAGCCAGCATTTATATTACACCTTCTTCAAAAGAATTCGTTCAAAATTAACAAATAAACATTAAAATAGTTTCAAATGTGTCCCTTTGCACGTTTTATAAAAAGACCATCATCAAAAACAGTTATCATATAATGAGGCAATCTAAATTTGATATAATTTGATTGAGTTGACACACATTCCATATAGATGATAATTAATTTAAGTTTTAATATTTTCATTTACATGTATCACAATATAAATGTAGGCTTAATGAAAGGGCGGATGGACCCTTATTAAGTCAAGCACTGAGAGGACATGTCACCATTCATTTCCTGAAATGTTATTATCTTCCAAAAGGTGACCTATAAAAGTTCAATTCAGTAATTCACTAAATGATACTAAATATGTGCCAGTGAGTGTAAGTCGTTTTTTGTGATGTTTACTATTTTGATGCACGACAAGCCAATGGGACCATTATATGCATCATGGAGGAAAATAAGGTGTTGCTGCTAAAATATATGATCATGATATCTTTCGGATGAGCTTAATTTCATTTTCAATTAATTTAACAAATATACATGGTATATGAAAGAAAAAAGTCCTGAGCGGGAAATTATTTTGATATTTACATTATAATTATGCATAATAAATAGGATAACTATATATAGACGAATAGTATCTTTCTGAGTATAATTTTAAAAGAATCAAAACAATAATTTTGTAAAGTTTAAAACTACACTCTTTATACACTTAAAATAAAAGTATATAAATAACCCATAGGTTTTTGAATAATAGTAAACAGTCCCAATCATCCCCAGGGAAGGGATGTTATTTTTGTTGTTACAAACCTATGTGTTATTTATTTTGTATTTGATTACCCCGAATTGGTAAATGTTGCCTCTATATATTGAATATTTTCAGTTTACATATGCCTGATCAAAGTACTCATATGATACGAATAAATATCTAAAAATTACTTTTACAGGGTGTGGCAAGCACATCGAACAGGTTTTAAAAGATGTACCAGAGGCTGAACGATGCAAATGTAAATAGTCGTCATGTCACAGTTGCTATGCCTAGGGCGGACAGGTTTGCTCATTTTATATAGTCAAGCAAATAAATCTTTATGAGCCACACTGAAATATTTTGAATAAGAAATGATTAGAACCCGAATATGAAAAATATCATGACAGTAACTCATCATCTGACAATTTTTTCATAAAATCTTACTGTATATAATGGCATTTTCATGGTCAATCCGAAATATGAATCTAGTTCTACCCCGTCCGCTCTGCTGAAGTTTTTTTCACAAAAAACTTGTAATACAATGAAAACTGGCTACTGGACAACTTTGGTATATTTTTGTTGGATTTTAAGTCGCATCGACTCTATTAAGGTCAGCTTTTCCACCTTTCGAGGTGTAGAAAGACCTCACGTTCCCCTACGTGCATTATGTCAGGCACGAGCAGGAGTAGAACCATTGGCCCTCCGTAAGCTAATTGTATAACTTCCTCGTATGAAAGAATCCATGCCATTGACAGGAGTTAAACCTACAGCGGTGAGAGGCAAGTAGTCCTTAACCACTCGGTCATACTTATGTGACACGATAATGCTTAGTTTGATACTGTTTTATTGATTTCCCTTTTACTTTACATGTTATCAGTTGGTTTTCCTGCATTCGTCGTAAATAATTTGTTCTTCCGTTCTCGCTAATGATCGTCTTTGCAATAACACTTAAATGAAGCTAGTTTTATTAATGATGTTTTTTTCACATTTAGCGCTTGCCCAAGAGAATAAGAAACGCACGTTTACATTTCTGTATTAGATACAAACTTATTAAACATTGGCACACGGATTTAATTTTTTAAATTATACACCAACAGTACCATCAATGGTGTTAACTAGTGTGTAAGAAATGTAAAAAGATGCCCCTCATTTCATATCAGTGTTGCTATTATAAATGCACCAACTTAAGAATAGTGGAAGCGTACTGTGATGGAGTTGTCCGATAGTACATAACTTTCTGTTATCATTGTCCGACCAGCAACTTAAGAAGTAATACACATTGAAATGGGCATATTCTACGGCCAGTAGATGATCATTGTTGATTTTGAGATCAGTAGGTAAAAGTAAAAGGTCACCAAGGCCTTGTCCACTTGTCCCACCAATAACTAAAGATGTTTGTTGTCGAGGTTGGTGAAGACTAGTAAATGGCCCAGTTTGATTTTAAGGTTATCATATCCAAAGGTCAATGTCACAGTGAAACTCTGTGTTAAAGACTTGCCCGGTCAGTAACTTTAGAAGTAATGAGGCTAAGTTTGTTAATATTTGTTAGAACATTGACCATTTCCAGTAGACGACCCTTGTTAGTATTGGGGTCAGTTAAATGTTAAGGTCACCTCAGTGTTATAAATAGAGAAAGTATAAAATTAACATAAAATTCATGAATACGGACCGAATGTATTTTCATCTTGTGTTATGACATTTCTCATATTTATATAATCACTGGATTAAAATAATTCCGTTTTTAAAGACAAAAATCTTGAATATTCTGTATATACCCTTCGTGTCTTATCTGTTCTTGACAATAAAGTAAGCATACTTATGTATTTTCAGATCCACTGTCAGACATTGGTAGAACAACCGGTGATAAAGGATCATTCTTGTTTTTGTCAGCAATAAAATTTTAAACGTTCTTCAGTTTTTTCTTGCATAGTTTTTATATTTAATTTATTATGTTGTGTATTTATAATTGTTTCTTTATGTCGTAAATAAATTTTTGAACTAAGCACTTTGTTTATTGTTATTTGAAATACAGAACTTGTAAGATGTTTTATATGATATCATTGTGGTACATGTATAGCCCGTGTTTGATAAGCTACCTTAAATTAATTATGCTCCCCGAAAAATTTCGGGGGAGCATATAGTCGTCGGGTTGTCCGTCCGTCCGTCCGTCCGTCCGTCCGTCAGTCAGTCCGTCCGTATGTACGTACGTACGTCCCGAATTCGTGTCCAGCCCATAACTTTGTTATTTGAAGTCGGATTTTAAAACTATTTCACAGAAATGATCACCATATTGAGACGACGTGTCGCGCGCAACATTTGGGTCGCTACATTGAAGGTCAAGGTCACAGCATGACCTTGCAGCAAAATCGTGTCCGCCACATAACTCTGTTATTTGAAGTCGGATTTTAAAACTATTTCACAGAAATGATCACCATATTGGGACGACGTGTCGCGCGCAACATTTGGGTCGCTACCTTGAAGGTCAAGGTCACAGCATGACCTTGCAGCAAAATCGTGATCGGCCCATAACTTTGTTATTTGAAGTCGGATTTTAAAACTTTTTCACAGAAATGATCCCCATATTGAGACGACGTGTCGCGCGCAACATTTTGATCGCTACCTTGAAGGTCAAGGTCACAGAATGACCTTGCAGCAAAATCGTGTCCGGCCCATAACTTTGTTATTTGAAGTCGGATTTCAAAACTATTTCACAGAAATTATCACCATATTGAGACGACATGTCGTCCGCAACATTTGGGTCGCTACCTTGAAGGTCAAGGTCACAGCATGACCTTGCAGCAAAATCGTGTCCGGCCCATACTTTTGTTATTTTAAGTCGGATTTTAAAACTATTTCACAGAAATTATCACCATATTAGAACGACATGTCACGTGCAACATCTGGGTATCTACCTTGAAGGTCAAGGTCACAGCATTACCTTGCAGCAGAATCGTGCCCGGCCCATAACTTCGTTATTTGAAGTCAGATTTTAAAACTATTTCACAGAAATGATCACCATATTGAGATGACGTGTCATGCGCAACATTTGGGTTGCTACCTTGAAGGTCAAGGTCACAGCATGACCTTGCAGCAAAATCGTGTCAGGCCCATAACTTCGTTATTTGAAGTCGGATTTTAAAACTATTTCACAGAAATGATCACCATATTGAGACGACGTGTCGCGCGCAACATTTGGGTCGCTACCTTGAAGGTCAAGGTCACAGCATGACCTTGCAGCAAAATCGTGTCCGGCCAATAACTTCGTTATTTGAAGTCGGATTTAACAAATATTTCACAGAGATGATCACCATATTAAGTCGACGTGTCGCATGCAACATTTGGGTCGCTACCTTGAAGGTCAAGGTCACAGCATGACCTTGCAGCAAAATGTCGGCCAATAACTTCGTTATTTGAAGTCGGATTGATTTTACAACTATTTCACAGGAATGATCACCATATTGAGACAATGTGTCATGCACAACATTTGGGTTGTTTTTACACTTTGAACTTTGTCTATGAAATAACTGACACTACAAGAGGTATACCTTTCTGTGTTCAAAACCTATTCGGGGAGCATCACCGGGTTCAATCGGCTCTTGTTTCGTACTGCCCGAGCTACGTTATACCACAACCAACAGACAGAACAATTGACAATGGTAGTGCGTAGCTAAAAATGTGTTAGACCTAGAGTCATAAAACTTTTTGTAGAGTTATGGCCTTTGATTTAGTAAAATTTGCAATTTTTAACTTGTGTCGCGAGTAGCTCAAAAAGTAATTGACCTACAGTAATGAAACATGTGAGGTTGTGCATCTGGGTATTTGCTTTATTCTGTATTTGTAGAGTAATTGCCCTTGGGTGAATAATAATGTGCATCTTCAACTTGTGTCGCGCATTGTTTGTTTGATTGGGCTTTACGTCAAGCCTACACAGTATAGGTTATATGGTGACGTGTCAGCTTTTCTGGCGTAGGAAGACTTCAGATGCCCTACCGTGCATCATTTCAGGCACCAGCGGGCACCTGAGTAGAACCACCGACACTCCGTGAGCTAGCATCCAAGCTTCCTCACATGAAAGAATCCAAAAGGCCATGTCGGCATTCGAACCCATAGCGGTGAGGGGCAAGTGGTTTGTGTCGCGCATACCCAAAAAAAATTTTTGGCTTAGAGTCAAGAAACTTTATAGAAATGTTGATCAGCATGTGAAGTTGTATACCTATGGTTTCGCTTGTGGATCATTTCAATTTTTGTCAGAGTTATTGCCCTTGACTAATTAAAAGTTGGCAATATTCAGTTTGTGTCGAGCGTAGCTCAAAAAGTGTTAGACCTAGAGTCTTGAACTTTTTCAGGAATGTTTGTCAGCATGTGTAGTTGTGCAAATGGATGTTTGCTTGTGGATATATTCAGCGCTTATAGAGTTATGGCCATTGACTTAGTAAATTTGCAAGTTTCAACTTGTGTCGCGAGTAGCTCAAAAAATACTTGACTAGAGTCATGAAACTTTACAGAAATAGTGGTATGCATGTCTAGTTGTGCATCAGGATTTGCTAAAAATGTTAAAAAATGAGCATTAATTTTAATTATATACAAATGTCACGAATGATTCTTTGCGTAAATAATTTAACAACAATTCTTGCGGACCATATCGTCTGACAATTATCCTTTTTCGAGGAATTTATTCAATACATCCCACAACATTTTCAAAATTGTGTATTGTTGCGATGGATGTTCTTTTATGTGTTTATCGATTATGATTTATCGGATATACTTTGGATTTCATAATGTTATGGATGTTCTTTTATGTGTTTGATTTATGACATATATATTTTCATAATATCACAATGTTATACCTATTCAAAAGAACGGGAACTTATTTGCCGATTATAAAAATCAGTTACAGCTTTGTTTTGTTATGAACAGGCCTAATAATATCTGCAATCATATATTTAAAAGGTAGTTTTCATAGGAACTTGTAAAATTATGCTTTGTAGAAGAGTGTTTTCATAGAAAAATTGAATTGAATAATTTAATAATAGCATAATAAAAACAGTGCTCCCAAAATCGAAAGTAACAGTTTTGACTATATGTGAATTGATTGCTACAGTAAACATAACGAAACTTCATGGTTCCCAAAAAGATGTGCTTTTATTTCTATCTTTGTAAACTACCACATAACACATTCGTAACGGTACTTTTGCTCAATTTCATTCTTTTCAATAATCGAGTTCAAGAATTGAGTAATTTATGTGTTTTATGAAATGGAATATAATGTAATTATGGAACATATTGCTCACTGGTCAGCAAGATTCTATGCAAACCAATTATCTTCCATAAAATAAGAACTTAATTTGATGAATTTCCCAATCTTGGTCACATTACATGTATTCAAGATAACAAAACTAAAGATATCGAAGCTAGATAGCTGATATTATAATACAGACAGGCGTTGAAGGCCTCCTCAACGCTATCTTATACTACAGGCACCGTCAACGACCTACAAAAAAACTAGCCAGCATTGAGTGTTGCCATTGTGCCAAGATCTCATAAATGACTACAACACATTGCCAGCCTGTTTTGGGTACCCGCAGGAAACGGCAAGCATTGTTTCAGGACGCCAAAATCAAATCATCAAATGATTCTGATTTTTTTGCCTTTCGCCATTAATAAAGTTCTCATTATACTGTAATCAATGGATTTACAACTCATTTTCTTAAACAGAATAGTGTAAATACACTATTTAAATTATTTCAATATTTCCAATTACATGTACATGTATCGCGCTAATATTTCGGTCTCGAAATCGGAGTGGTCGCAAAGCGGGTTTTACTGTATAATGTTAATGTTTTGGTCTCGAAATCGGGGTGGTCGCAAAGCGTGGGTATTACTGTATAACGTTAATGTTTTGGTATCGAAATCGGGGTGGTCGCAAAGCGGTTTTTACTGTTAAACGTTTATGTTTTGGTCTCGAAATCGGGGTGGTCGCATAACGGGTTTTACTGTATAACGTTAATGTTTCGGTATCGAAATCGGAGTGGTCGCAAAGGCGGGTTTTTATTGTACCACATTACTATTTGGTATCGAAATCGGGGTGGTCGCAAAGCGGGTTGTACTGTATAACGTTAATGTTTTGGTCTCGAAATCAGGGTTGTCGCAAAGTAGGTTTTACTGTATAACGTTAATGTTTTTGTATCGAAATCGGGGTGGTCGCGAAGCGGGGTTTAATTGTATCACATTTATGTTTTGGTCTCGAAATCGGGGTGGTCGCAAAGCTGGGTTTTATTGTATCACATTAATGTTTGGTCTCGAAATCGGAGTGGTCGCAAAGCGTGGGTTTACTGATTGGTATCGAAATCAGTGTGGTCGCAAAGCGCGGTTTTACTGATTGGTATCGAAATCAGTGTGGTGGCAAAGCGCGGTTTTACTTATGTTAATGTTTTGGTTTCCAAATTGGGAGTGGTCGCAAAGCGGGAATTTACAGGATCATTTTAATGTTTTGTAAAGTAGATCTGATCTACATTCGGAGGAATCTGTTTTAATTAATATCTATGTAAAAAACCCATATAAAACAGGCGTCCTTAAGTATGTATTTTGATCATGTTTACTGTACAAAAACAAATATCATTTTTATTTTCTAAATCAAATATCCACTTAAAGTCTTGAAATAAAGTAAAATACATGTATATTCATTTCATATTGTCGACCTTACGAAGGCAATATTATTTTTATTTCATTTTTTCGTAATTTGACACTGTCACCTGTCATATCCTTGATTTGTTAATCTAATTCAACACACTATAGGTTTTCTATTTAGTTGAAAATAAACACCGTTAAAGCATAAAAACACATGTACCTGGTAACAATAATGTATATTTTAATAGAAAACAAAAGACAAATATATCCATTTATGCCAAAAGCTTTCAAATTAACTATTCAAAAATATACCTATATGATTAAAATATACATGTATATAACACACAATATCATAGTAATCATGCATATTTCTATAATATCAACAGTTACACATTCATGAATTAACTTTTCAGAAAAGTGTAAGCAAATGCATCTAATGCCGATATTTACTGAAAATATATAAATAACACTAGCTGTTTGACAACGAAGAAACTTAACCAGTGTTTAATCTACATGCACGCAAATAAGGTTCTGAAGAAGTTACTCCCACTTATCTGAAACAGCTGAAGATAAGAACATTTGAATTAAACGTATTGTATCTTAATTGCAATGAAATTATTTGAATTTATGTCAATACCCTTCAATACAGTTTTACTGTGATTTTTCCATTTCAAGAAATTTTATTTTAGTTCTGTAGGAGTGATTTCACACCCTTGATTTCATGCCTCGGAGCTGACCATGCACGGACTTCATTTTGTTCCGGATAGCAATAGTTAGAAACAGACTCCATTTTGTTCCGGATAGCAATAGTTAGAATCGAAAGACATTCTTGAAAGCAATATGACTGAATTGTGGAGATTCTAAACTTAAACAAATTTAAAGCATAAAGTTAAAGATATGTACCAGCGTCTATCACTATTGGATAGCACAAATCTTACTATCAACAGTTCCTGGCTCGAGGGATTTCAATTCTAGTAGCCTTCTTTTAAGATATTTCTGCTCAATTTGCTTCCTCTTTATTTCCTCTTCGATTTCTCTTCTTTGAAATAGAAGGTGACCCATACTAGTGCTATCACCGTTTACAGAGAGTCCCGTCGGCTGCCGTCGGTATGACATAAGACTGTGACTGTCCATATCATCTATATCTCTACAAGTCATTGAAGTATAAGGTCTAGCTGATAATGTTTCGTTTTCGTCTTCTAGTCTTTCTATCCTTTCTTTTAACTCTGTATTCTCTCTTGTCACGAGTTCTACCGAGGTCCTTTCTCGCTGGAGACTATCCTGTGAAAGAAGAAAACATATCATACCACTCATTTCCGTGTCCTCCATTCTAAAATAAAATCACTATCAAAGGAGCAGTGAGCTGGTCATTCCTGAGTGCTGGATAGCACTTTTATTTTGAATGAAGAGATACTTTGAATTATAGGTCGAGTACTCCTTGATCTTAGATCTTTTGATTCGAAAATGGGTGTGGCAGGCAGAAATGTTAACAATAGTCTTTATGATATTGATATTTTGGCCGAAAATAAATAAGACATACAGAATTCGACAATTTCCATCTACATACAAAGTTCAAAGTTTCTCGGTCAAATTGATTAACAGGTCAGAAAAGAGTTTTGTTGTTTCAGGTCCCAGTGACCATTTATTTAATTATTTATTTTCATATACCGAGTATTTCATTGGAAAATCTATTAAAATTTTCGGAACTGCATTTTTGTTGATACTCAAACGCAATGGAACTCATTGTTTGAAATATAGATAAGGACACATTTCTTGCCATCCGGTCATTTGCAACATTTCTTGAGCCAAAAACAATATATATAAGTATAATGAAAGCCATGTGCAATCATTTCATAATTCTATTTTAGTGGAGACCCCCTCCCCCCACACACACACACGTACTATCTTTCAGAAAAGAATAACAAACATGTCTACATCGTAACGACAAATGTTAATAGTTCATAAAGCGACCACATATACAATAATAAGGTTTGTACACATTATTTGGACAAAGCAGTTTATCATGCACTCAGGATAACGGTATGTTGTTTTTAGTATATTAATACAGAACCGTACGTGAAGTACGGAATTTAGTTATCTTCCTTTCTGGAAAACACCGTGATTACTTTGTTAAAAAATCTTCATTTTGTGTGTACTTCAAGTTACGAGGCTAACCTTTTTCAAGCCGCATTTTGTTTGGCATATTTTGCATTGTTACGAATCAGTGAGTTTGTTCCGTCAAATCCAAGAGAGTCAAATAAGGTCATCCAACTGTCAGATGTTGAGGTAAATCAAATGCAAGTTTCAATAAAAGTTAGGCACTCCAAAACTGATCAGTTAAGTCAAGGTACTAGATTAATCATCCCACATTCTGGACAGGGAACAACAGTTAACTCTACTCTTTTGCAGTATCTTGCAGTTAGACCTAATATTTCTTCTCAATTTCTCTGTCATTTTGATGGAACAAACCTTACTTCATACCAATTTAACTTTGTTTTGAGGAAAGTTCTTGAATTCAGTAACTACAACATCAAATATTATAAATCACACTCTTTTCGTATAGGTTCTGCAACTGATTTATACTTACAAGGTTTTTCAGATGAGCAAATAAAAAATCTTGGAAGGTGGAAAAGTTCCGCATATCAGAATTATATTCGCATTTAGTTACATGTATTTAGTTTTACACGATGCTGGGATCTTTTTTCAATTTCCAGGTCCATTACAAGTGTATATAGTTGGCTCGTAAATAATAAAATATGCTGAGCAACATGCTAAGAATACTGTTGGTCAACACCTGGGCTTAAACAGGTATAAAAATTTTCTAAATTGGAAAGGCGTTTCTTCTTTGAAGGTTGAAAATGCACTATCCCAGCAAACACAAGACGTCATACTGACGTCAGATTTAAGTCAGGTTCTGACGTCGGATGACGGTCGGAAAAACGGTTGGATTTGAAAGTTTTTTTGACGTAATAATCTGACGTCAGGTAGACGTCAGAATCTAACCATTATTTAACCTTCTTCTGACCAAAATCTGACCATTATCTAACCATTTTCAGACCTCAATCTGACCATTTTCCGACCTAAATCTAACCAGTTACTAACCATTTTCCGACCTCAATCTGACCATTTTCCAACCTAAATATTAACCCTTTTCTGCCCTAAATCTGGTCATTTTCTGACCTTCATCTGATCATTCCCCTAATCTTTTTTGTTTCACCACGTCATAAATATTTTCTGGCTAATCCTGATTTGATCGAATTTAATGTAACTCATTATATTAAGTAACTTTCCCTCCAATGAAATGTATAACAGAAAACTAAAAGCAAAAATATGTTTTATGCTTTTTTTAATTTAAAATGAAAGTTGCAATTTTAAGCTTGATACATACAATTTTAGTAAATTCTGCAAGGTTAAATAATTTTCATAAATTAAACAAAATAAAACATAAAATAAGTTAATTACAAAAGAAAAAGGGATTACAAAAAACAATGACATAAATGAAAACTAAGAAAAATATGTACAAATATTAAAGAACAAAACAATGTATGCACATTTCTATCAAAGTTTGCCTTATCAAATAAAATAATGAAAATATTATAATTTTAAGAAAAGTGAAAAAGATTCTGATAATAATGTTTCAAGCAATTAATGACAGATTTTCAGTATTTTAACTATATTTCTACAGCATTTCTAAAACATTTAGTGCCATTTTGCATATTTTGACCTCCTTTGATAATTGTCAGTAATGTATAAATTGCTGCCTTTTAGTTTACTTCACAAAGTTATACTTTTAGATATCCATGAGAATTAGCACGAATTTTGAGGTGTGATGCTTTAAGATATGACCTTCTTTCAGCACCCCTCGTCTGTCCGGAGGGTATGTAGCGTTTGTAGCGTCCAATAGCGTGTGTGACATCATTTTCACTGAAAAAAAAAAAAATTTTATGAAACATGTAAAAATAACAAGCAAAAATGTTTTCATGGTTATCTTAACTTAATGAACAATTTTGCCAACTTTTTATGAGAGCTTTAACAAAAATTAAAAGTAAACATAAATACTGAACATTTAAAAAAAGCCGCTTTTTAAAAACTCCAGTTTAGTATGGATTAAAGTATGTATAGAATTTACAAAAATCTTTACTGTCATATGTTTCTTTCTACATATTCACGTGTTTCCGTCCTCCGACCTTTGAGAGCATGTCCAACACTTAAACTACCTGAAAAGAAAATTATATTCTAACTTATGTATACAGTATATTCTACGTTTGAAATAGAAACAGTTACGCAAGTCTTAAATATTTCATAGTTTTAAATTTAAAGATTAAATGCCGAAATGTCTGGAACCAAAACGTCTTGGGTTATTTGGGACCGGAACGTTTTGGGTTATTTGGGACCGAAACGTGTTGGTCCGAAATGCTCGAAATCGTACAAATTCATTTCTCAATTCTCAGATTTTAACTGACAAAAACTCACAGTTTAAGAAAAAAATGAAAACTAAGCATTCCTCTTTGCGTAGTACTGAAAAGGCATATTATAAGCTCTTTACAAGCAGAGTTAAAACATGTCAATTTTAAAAAGGATTTATTATTAGACATTATTATCGCGATTTTGTGTGACATTTTACTTCAGCTGTTCAAATAATGATAATTAAATTTAAGAGTGCTTGCAATCATGCAATTATTTATCTAATACAAAGTAGAAATTAAATCTAAATAAATATGAACTGACCTTTTTGTTCAAGAAAATCTATAATATTCACTTTATCAGTGCATCCGATTCCTGCCTGACAGCCAAAAACGTAACGCCTACGAATTTGAATTTCCCATCCACGTGACTTTAGATTTCGAATTATAGGTTAATTACGTTTTTCTTTCCCTTTTCTGTCACTATGATTAAATGTTTTTAAGCACTATTAAAAAACTCATGAATTTTGATACATATAATGTACCACAAATGATAATATTTAACGTTAAATGATTGGGAACCTGTAAACAGATCTGTGGCTTTATAAATAGAATTTCATAACAAAACACATGTAACTTGCCTATATACAGCGCCACTCTATATGTTTTATTAGGTTGCAGCGCCGGGATCTTGGTCTGTATTTATATAAGAACATTTCATTTGTAATCCAAATAACATTTGAAAAAAAGTTTAAATGATTACAACAGCGAATAAGGATTATTTTCTGTTATTTTTTTACCTACCGTCAGGACACCGACCAGAACCTGATGTTAGTTCGACGTCAAAAAGAAACGTCTATTTGACATCGGTATTTTAACGTCAGATTTACGTCGTATTTTGGTCGCCGACGTCGTGACCAAAATCTAACATTAATCCGACGTTATTTTAACGTCATGTGTTTGCTGGGATCAGCCATTGAAGAACTTGTTCAACATAATAGCCCAGATATAATTGTTATTCATTGTGGAGGTAACAATGTCGGTTCAACTCCATTAGGTCAACTAATGTTTTCACTAAGATCACTACTGAATGAGCTTTTTCAAAAATATTCATTTGCTCTTATAGTGTTTTCACAAATTTTACCAAGATTAAAATGGCGTTATGAACGCAATCACAACTCTTTGGAACTCAGCTCCACGTAAACGCATTAACAATTCCATTTCGACAAAATAGTTAAAAAAGGCGGAGCTTGATTAAGTATCCAGAAATAGTTGAAGAATCACAGGCATTGTTTCGCCCGTGACCAAGTCCATTTGTCGAAGTTTGGGCAATGACATCTTTCTGCACACTTTGCAAGGGCACTATATAAATTTTGTCATAATAATGATTGTTGTTTCCTTTCCTGATGTCTCTGAGGTTGGTCCATGGCTTGCTATTAATTCCCCTTTGCCCGTACGCTTGTGGCGGTGGACTACTGCCGAAGTCCATTTGGCAGAATACGGGCATGTTTATTTAGAGACAGATATTTTATTAAGTAGGCAGTATCTGTACACCAGGCTGTCAGTAACACATGGTGATGTGTTTTTCTAATTGTCAAATTTTAGATTTGAGGGGGATAAACTTGATATGTTGTGTTTTGGAGGCTGCCCGTGATAGTGAAATTTGGCGCCTCACTGTTTGTTTTTGTTTAGCAAAATGTTTTGCTATCACCAGACTGTCCTGCATATTTGGGCAAGGAACTTTTTAGATATTTCATGATGCAGTATCTGATCACCAGGCTGTTTTTCATGTTTTTTCAGTTGATATACTTTGTTTTTATTGTTTTTTGTAGGCTACCAGTTGTGCCTTATTGTATTTTGATTTCATATAAAACATATATTTCAAGCAGCCATGGACATAAATTGCCAATACAAACAAAATAAATTTATAGAAATGATAACACCTTTTTGTTTTTATCAAGAATTTATTTTGCCCCAACCTGTTGTGCTGATAAACCAATTTACATGTTCTTTTATGTGTTTATCGATTATGATTTATCGGATTTACTTTGGATTTCATAATGTTATGGATGTTCTTTTATGTGTTTGATTTATGACATACAGTAAAAACCCTCAATTAAGACCACCTTCGGGACTGGACCAAAGTGGTCTTAATTGCGGGGTGGTCTTAATTGTGAATATTCTTATCAAATGCTTACTTCCTTTTTGACCATGGTCTATTTTAGTCATTTTGTATGAACAATCAATATATATACCTGCAAATACAACTTAAATGTATGTTATAAATTAACATCTGATGGGGTGAAAGAAATTTTATATCAAATTCTGTTTGTCTGATTTCAATATCAATTTCAATATTAATTATTATATGATGTACATAATTCACCCATCAAATAAAAAAATCATATCTTCACATAATCAATGTGCTTAAAGCAAGATTAAACAACTGTAAAATTTACTTTCTCACCTTATTTCATTCAATATCCCAATGATATAAGGTGTTTTGACACCTTGTGAAATAAGGTGTCATGCCTTAGAGCATTCAAGCTGTTAATTACAGCAAATTTAAGATCTAGGTAGGTGTTGACTTTAAATCAGTGGTCTCAATAGTGGGGTCAAATTAAGAACAAAACAAAGAATTGGGACTGAATCTGGTGGTCTTAAAAGTGGATAAGCGAGGTGGTCTTAATTCTGGATCATGTAAACATTGACAAAAAGAACAGAAAATTCCGTACTTTTAAAAAATGGTCTCAGTAGTGGGGTGGTCTTAATTCCGGGGTGGTCTTAAGTAGGGATTCTACTGTATATATTTTCATAATATCACAATGTTATACCTATTCAAAAGAACGGGAACTTATTTGCCGATTATAAAAATCAGTTACAGCTTTGTTTTGTTATGAACAGGCCTAATAATATCTGCAATCATATATTTAAAAGGTAGTTTTCATAGGAACTTGTAAAATTATGCTTTGTAGAAGAGTGTTTTCATAGAAAAATTGAATTGAATAATTTAATAATAGCATAATAAAAACAGTGCTCCCAAAATCAAAAGTAACAGTTTTGACTATATGTGAATTGATTGCTACAGTAAACATAACGAAACTTCATGGTTCCCAAAAAGATGTGCTTTTATTTCTATCTTTGTAAACTACCACATAACACATTCGTAACGGTACTTTTTGCTCAATTTCATTCTTTTCAATAATCGAGTTTCAAGAATTGAGTAATTTATGTGTTTTATGAAATGGAATATAATGTAATTATGGAACATATTGCTCACTGGTCAGCAAGATTCTATGCAAACCAATTATCTTCCATAAAATAAGAACTTAATTTGATGAATTTCCCAATCTTGTCACATTACATGTATTCAAGATAACAAAAACTAAAAGATATCGAAGCTAGATAGCTGATATTATAATACAGACAGGCGTTGTAGGCCTCCTCAACGCTATCTTATACTACAGGCACCGTCAACGACCTACAAAAAAAAACTAGCCAGCATTGAGTGTTGCCATTGTGCCAAGATCTCATAAATGACTACAACACATTGCCAGCCTGTTTTGGGGTACCCGCAGGAAACGGCAAGCATTGTTTCAGGACGCCAAAATCAAATCATCAAAAATGATTCTGATTTTTTTGCCTTTCGCCATTAATAAAGTTCTCATTATACTGTAATCAATGGATTTACAACTCATTTCCTTAAACAGAATAGTGTAAATACACTATTTAAATTATTTCAATATTTCCAATTACATGTACATGTATCGCGCTAATATTTCGGTCTCGAAATCGGAGTGGTTCGCAAAGCGGGTTTTACTGTATAACGTTAATGTTGTGGTCTCGAAATCGGGGTGGTCGCAAAGCAGGTTTTACTGTATAACGTTAATGTTTTGGTCTCGAAATCTGGCTGGTCGCAAAGCGGGTTTTACTTTATAACATTAATGTTTTAGTATCGAAATCTGGTTGGTCGCAAAGCGGGTTTTACTGTATAACGTTAATGTTTCGGTATCGAAATCGGAGTGGTCGCAAAGGCGGGTTTTTTATTGTACCACATTACTATTTTGGTATCGAAATCGGGGTGGTCGCAAAGCGGGTTGTACTGTATAACGTTAATGTTTTGGTCTCGAAATCAGGGTTGTCGCAAAGTAGGTTTTACTGTATAAACGTTAATGTTTTTGTATCGAAATCGGGAGTGGTCGCGAAGCGGGGTTTTAATTGTATCACATTTATGTTTTGGTCTCGAAATCGGGGTGGTCGCAAAGCTGGGTTTTATTGTATCACATTAATGTTTGGTCTCGAAATCGGAGTGGTCGCAAAGCGTGGGTTTACTGATTGGTATCGAAATCAGTGTGGTCGCAAAGCGCGGTTTTACTTATGTTAATGTTTTGGTTTCCAAATTGGGAGTGGTCGCAAAGCGGGAATTTACAGGATCATTTTAATGTTTTGTAAAGTAGATCTGATCTACATTCGGAGGAATCTGTTTTAATTAATATCTATGTAAAAAAACCATATAAAACAGGCGTCCTTAAGTATGTATTTTGATCATGTTTACTGTACAAAAACAAATATCATTTTTATTTTCTAAATCAGTTATCCACTTAAAGTCTTGAAATAAAGTAAAATACATGTATATTCATTTCATATTGTCGACCTTACGAAGGCAATATTATTTTTATTTCATTTTTTCGTAATTTGACACTGTCACCTGTCATATCCTTGATTTGTTAATCTAATTCAACACACTATAGGTTTTCTATTTAGTTGAAAATAAACACCGTTAAAGCATAAAAACACATGTACCTGGTAACTATAATGTATATCTTAAAAGAAAACAAAGACAAATATACCCATTTATGCCAAAAGCTTTCAAATTAACTATTCAAAAATATACCTATATGATTAAAATATACATGTATATAACACACAATATCATAGTAATCATGCATATTTCTATAATATCAACAGTTACACATTCGTGAATTAACTTTTCAGAAAAGTGTAAACAAATGCATCTAATGCCGATATTTACTGAAAATATATAAATAACACTAGCTGTTTGACAACAGATTCAGAAACGAAGAAACTTAACCAATGTTGAATCTACATGCACGCAAATAAGATTCTGAAGAAGTTACTCCCCTTTATCCGAAACAGCTGAAGATAAAAACCATTGAATTAAACGTATTGTATCTTAATTGCAATGCAATTATTTGAATTTATGTCAAACTCTTCAATACAGTTTTTACTGTGATTTTTCCATTTCAAGAAATTTATTTTAGTTGTAGGAGTGATTTCACACCCTTGATTTCATGCCTCGGAGCTGACCATGCACGGACTCCATTTTGTTCCTGATAGCAATAGTTAGAAACAGACTTCAATTTTTGTTCCGGATAGCAATAGTTAGAATCGAAAGACATTCTTGAAAGCAATATGACTGAATTGTGGAGATTCTTAACTTAAACAAATTTAAAAGCATAAAAGTTATAGATATATACCAGCGTCTATCACTATTGGATAGCACAAACCTGGCTATCAACAGTTCTTGGTTCGAGGGATTTCAATTCTAGTAGCCTTCTTTTAAGATATTTCGGGCCCCAATTTTGTTTCCCCCTTTATTTCCCCCCCTTCGATTTCCCCCTTCTTTGAGATAAAAAAGGGTTTAAACCCAATCTAGAGCTTTTTCACCTTTTCCCCAGAAACCCCCCCGTCGGCTCCCCGTCGGTATGCCCATAAGACTGTGAACGGTCCATAAAATCTATATTTTAAACAAGCCCTTTTAAAATTTTAAAAGGTTTCAAAGTTTGAAAAAATTTTTTCTTTTTTCCGCCCTTTCCTAGTTTTTTCCAAATCCTTTTTTTTTTAAACTCTGTTTTCCTTCTTTTTTTCCAAAAAAGGGTTCAAAACCGGGGTTTTCCTTTTTTTCGCGGAGCCCTTTCCCCTTTTAAAGAAAAAAAACATATAAAACCATCATTTTCCGTGCCCCTTTTCCATTAAAAAAATTTAAAAATCACTATCAAAGGAGCAGTGAGCTGGTCATTCCTGAGTGCTGGATAGCACTTTTATTTTGAATGAAGAGATACTTTGAATTATAGGTCGAGTAGACCTTGATATCTTAGATCTTTTGATTCGAAAATGGGTGTGGCAGGCAGAAATGTTAACAATAGTCTTTATGATATTGATATTTTGGCCGAAAATAAATATGACATGCAGAATTCGACAATTTCCATCTACATACAAAGTTCAAAGTTTCTCGGTCAAATTGATTTACAGGTCAGAAAAGAGTTTTGTTGTTTCAGGTCTCAGTGACCATTTATTTAATTATTTATTTTCATATACCGAGTATTTCATTGGAAAATCTATTAAAATTTTCGGAACTGCATTTTTGTTGATACTCAAACGCAATGGAACTCATTGTTTGAAATATAGATAAGGACACATTTCTTGCCATCCGGTCATTTGCAAACATTTCTTGAGCCAAATACAATATATATAAGTATAATGAAAGCCATGTGCAATTTATTTCATAATTCTATTTTTAGTGGAGACCCCCCCCACACACACACACACACACGTAATATCTTTCAGAAAAGAATAACAAACATGTCTACATCGTAACGAAAAATGTTAATAGTCCATAAAGCATAAAGCGACCACATATACAATAAACCAATTTACATACCATTGCTTTATTTTTTTCGAGGACTTCTTTCTCAAGTTGAACGCTTTGTCTCTCTACCGCCTTCTTTAACTTTTCTTTCTCTCTCGCTATCCTTTCTTCGTTCAGTTTATGTTTCTGCATTCTCAATTCCATTTCTTCTCTCTCTGAGGTTTTCAGCTTTAGTTTCCCGAGCATTTGCTCTTTCTCAATCTTGAATTAATAAAAATAAATGGTTCAATTGAAATAAAGAACTGTCAGACTAAACATCAGACAAAGTAGTTGAACGAATTCTAAGTATAATGTTGCATTGACAGGCTTATACGAAAGACTGGTGGAGTTAAAATCGTGAATTCATGAAGTTGAAATCGTGAAGTCTGAATTCCGTATGTTCACGAAGTTGAAATTATGAATACACGAAGATAAAATCGGATATTCATGATGTTGAAATGTCACCGACTTACCCCCTCTCTAAGTAAAACACCCATTTCTTCAGACGTAACAAACATATTAATTAGAAAAATTAAAAAAGAAAAATTTATATTTTTCATTAAAAATGTCGGATCCATCTAATCAAAAAGAAATCATTCTGCTTTCTGATAAGGTTAATGGAATTAATCTATTGGAAATAACTGGTATATAAGTATTTTTCATTTAATTTTTCAATAAAAGTGTGTCTAGAGATCCGAAACTTTGCATCAATGATTAAATTTTATCTAATGTATAATTAAGCTTTTGCTTTAATAAAATTTCATCAACTGAACTTCTTTGATTCCTGGTTCATGAGTACCTGAGTCGCGTCATGACAAAATCAACATAGTGCGTTTGCGACCAGCATGGATCCAGACCAGCCTGCGCATCCGCGCAGTCTGATGAGGATCCATGCTGTTCGCTTACCAACCCTATTGCAAGTAGAGAAACTGATAGCGAACAGCACGGATCCTGATCAGACTGCGCGGATACGCAGGCTGGTCTGGATTCATGCTGGTCGCAAACCAATTATGTTGGTTTTGTCATGGCACGGCTCACCTCTAGTTTCTTATTCTCTTCTGTTAGGCTTTTGTTAGATTCTTCATGCTGACGTTGAATCTGCTTTAACTTTTCTATTTCCTCTTCCTTGTGCCTCAATGATTCCTTTAGTTTGTTTAACTCTTCGTTTGTTTGTTGTAAGTTTGACGCTAGCTTCTTTTCTAATTTCTGAGAAGATTTTTCTTGTTCCTGCAAGAGAGTTCTTACATGAACGGAAGATACTTTTTCTCAATATTCTGTATTATACTTTATACTAAGACACAATCTGTCATGGCCAAATATAACTGGCATCGCTAAGTAACATCTTTACAATGAATGTCGCAATTGTTAAGTCTTAAAAATACAAATGCTCATAGAAGAACATCGATATCTAAAAATGTAGGTATATAACATTGAAACATCTATCAATATTGCATGACCTATTAATCCAGGTATGTGCTCATTATATATAAAGATAAGAGCTTTTTGCCATGACATAAACAAATAAAAAAAATGAATTTGTGTAATGGATTTGCCCTTGTTTGAAGTTTTGGAGCAGTCCATTCAAAATTTAACGGATTATGATATCATAATACTTTAATTTAGCAGTAAGGAGCTTGGTGCGACTGCATGGATATGCAGACTGGCCTGGTTCTATACTTGATTAATCACTGTCGGATCAAGAAGGAAGGTTAGGGGTTACGATATGTACAGTCATATCTTTTACTGGTGCTGATAAAAAATAACGTCAAACATCACAATATTAGTTATAAAGATTTTTGACAGTTTTTTTGGCCCTATATAAACGGTTGTATGTAAATATAACCCGAGCCGCTAGACGAGGGTTATATTGCAAACAACGGTATATAAACGGCAAATCTATTTTCATTTACACATTCTTAAAACGAATATGCAAAAGTGAATTTGTAGGGTCAGTATGGGATGATTTCCCACCTATACTGAATATCAGGGAGGACAAATGGGGTCACCCTTTGTCGGGCCCGAAACAATGAATCAGTATTTTTTTTCAGATAGATATTCTCACCTGTTTCATAGCAACAAGCTCTTTTTGTCTCTGTGCATCACTGTCTTGCAATTCTTTGAGTGTCTTCATAATTGCAGCCTATATTATTTTATACAATAATCAGAATAATTATAAGTAGCAAAAATTATCATACTTTAAAATTTTTTTCGTCAATAAAAAGGGAAACATTTTTAAATTTTCTGTAATTATAAAAAAGGGGGGAAAATAGAGATGCCCTAATAAAAAGACATGTCATTTGAGATATCAAAGGCCCATTATGTTTCCAGAATTACTTCTTTTCTTTCTTAAAAAGTATTTTAATCAAAGTGTCCTTATAGTTTCCAAAAAAATACTCAATGGCCAATTACCTGAACCATCGTTTGCTTTTTTTTCTCTTTTTTTTTTGCAATTAGTACATTTACTTACGATGATTTATATTTTGTACTGAAGTCAAAAATACTGCTTTGTTTATGTTTTGCTTCTTTTTATGTCAGTCATTTCACATTTAGGTACCTTTTTCAGGCAACAAGCATCTAGCATTTCTCTAAAACATTAGTTAAACATTATAAAATCCATGAGAAGTAAACATTTATTTGTTTCTGAGGCATAATGTGCCTTTAAGGTATGGTGTACAGAAAAATAGTTTTTGTTAATTATTTTTTAAGGAAAATTTTTTAAGAATTTAAAGAATTTTTTTCCCCCGTAGATAGTTTTGTAGTAAAGGGGTTCCCTTTGGGGAACTTTTGGGGAAACCAAAAATTCCAAAATTTGGGGAAGATAAATTTTTAAATTTTAAAATACAAAGGGAAATATAACTGAAAATAAAGGGAAAAAATTTTAGAAAAAATTTACAAAAGAAACGTTTTTTAATTTTAAATATCTTGGATATTTATTAGAAAGGGTTTCTTTTCCCGAAATTAAATATTTTAAATAACTTTATTCAAAAATTTAAAAGAAACATTTTCCTAAAATTTCTCATTAGTTTTTGGGAAATGAAATTTTAAAAATACCCTCAATAAAAATTTGTTTTTAAGGGGAAAACAGTCTTTTAAAAAAGGAAAAAAAAATAATTTCACATTATTTTTTTTTTTTAAAGTATAATAAAAAAAAATTTAAAAGTAAAATTTTTAAAATTGGTCAAAATTTTTTTTTTTTGGTTCCCCCTTTTTTTAATTTGGGGGTTTAAATTTTCCAATTTCCCAAAAAAAAGGGGGAAAAAGGTAATTTAAAGGGTTTTTCTTATATTTGGGTTTCAGGGGCCCGTATCCCATTTTAATATTCTAAATTTTACCCTTTAGTTTTCGTAAAAAAAAACCCTGGGAAACCCTATAAAATTAGCAAATATTTTTTTGAAAAAATTCTATCTAAAATGAAGTAAAAAAGAAAAATAAAAATAAAAATGACTTTTTTCAGTAATAAGCTTTTTTTTTGTGGGCAAATTTGAAATAAAAGCAAATTAACAAAAAAAACAAAAAGGGTTTGGGCGGAAACGAAAAAGGGGTTCCCAAACCAATTTTGAGTTTCAGTTTGTGTAAGTCTTTCCTGGGGTTTAAATTTTCAAATTAAAATTTAAAGAGGGTTTTAAACAAAAAAAATAAAATTTTAAATTTTTTTTTCACGGGGGATTAAAATAATTTAAAATTAAAATTTCCGGGGCCAAACCCCTTTTCATGATAGGTTTTGTTGTCCGGGGTTTAAAATGTATTTTTTTCCGTCTTTTGAAAAATACCCTGTATTTTTTTTAAAAAAACCCCCAAAACAAAGTTTTTTTGGGGGAAAAGTGACTAAAATAAACCCCAAAAAATTTGGTCAAATTTCTTTATGATTTAAAAAAATTAAATTTTTTTGATTTTGTGTTAAAAAAAACCAAAATCAAATAAAACCCAAAAATTTCAGTCCCCTTTAAAAACCCCATGGTCGAAACAAAATGGGGGCCCCCAATTTTAAGCTTTTTTTCCGGGGAAAAAGGGGCTTTTTTTAAAAACCCTTTATAAAAAAAATTTTGGGGGCCGATTTTTAAATTTGAAATTACTAAAATTTTAAAAATGAAAACTTAAAAGGACACAAAAAACCCTACATTTTTTCCCCCCTTGCAAGCCCCTTGTACTTTTTCCTCCCTTTTTTATTTAGACCCAAAAATGGAAAAAAAACTAAACGAGCCGTGTAAACAAACAAACCAACAAAAATGGATTTGGGGACCGGGCATGGATCCAGACCACCCTGCCCCATCCGGGGGCCCCCCCCAGCCCTAAATAAAGGTTTCCCATAAATGTTCGCTTACAAAAACCCCGTTTAAAAGTAGAGAAACTAAATAGCGAACAGCATGGACCTAGACCAGCCTGCAAAAAACCCCTTTAAAATTTTTGGTTTTGTCGGGGAAACGGCAAAAAACAAAAAACAAAACATAGGGGGACATGTGGGTTTGAATTGGGGGACTCTTTTGGAAATTAAAATTAAAAAGGAATAGAATTTAAAATGGGGAAAACCCAAAGAGGAATCCAGGGGAAAAAATTTTGGTTACAACCCTTTTTTTATTTTTAATTTAACTTTAAAAACCCAAAATTTTTTAAAAAGGGTTTTTCAAAAAAAAAACTTTAAAATTTTCCAAATTGCCCAAAAAAAAACATGTTTTTTTTAAAAAATTTTCACTTCCAAAATTTGTTTTCCTTTTCTTCCAGTTTTTTGGGTTTAAAATTTTTTATAAAAAAAAAGTAAAAATAAAATTGCAGGGGCATAAAACGAGCCGGGGTTAGTATCCCCAAATTTATCTTTTATTTTTTTGGGGTTTACGAACGTGCTAAACGATTGAGGGAAGGGTTTTTGGTTAACGAGAGCCCTAAGCGGGGGGGTATCTCGAAAGATTTATTTTAAGCAATCTTTTCGTTTTTTTAAATTTCCGTTAGTTTTTAAACGATTGGGGTTGTTTTTTAAAATTTAAAATACAATTTTTCCCCAAAAAATTTGTTAACTCTTTTTTTATATTAAAACTGAAAAAATTTATTTTGCTTTTAGCCCGGAAAAATTGGGAATAAAAGGGGGTTAAACATCAGGGCTAATTTTTAATCTTTTTTTGAAAATTTAAAAATTTCCCGTAAAAAACGAATTTTAAAGTTTTTCCCGTGGGGTGGGGGGTTTTTTCCTTTTTAAAAAATCCAAAATTTAAATGAAAAATTTTTGATGAAAAATTTACAACAAAAATTTTTTAAAACGGGTTTAAAGGGAAAACTGAAAAGAAATTTTTTGTTTTTTGGGGGCCCAAACGGAAAAAATTTTTTTTAAAAATTTTTTTATTTAATTTTAATTTTTTAATGGCTTCTGACAAACAAAAAAGTAAGTTTTAAAAAAATTTAAAAAAAACCTTTTTCCTTATTCTTATTTTTTAATATAAACAAATTTAAAGAAAGTTTTAAAAAATTCAAAACTGTGAAAAAAACCCAAAAAAAAAGGGAAAAGGTTTTTTTTGGTGTAATAATGTTAAATCATCAGTTCGGTCAATATTTTTGTCGATATACAAAGAGACATTTCAAAAAAAATTTTGTTTCCAGATAAAGTTTTAAACTTTGTTTTGACTGTTTTAGGTAAGAGTACATGTATAAAAGATCAATACATTTGGATAACGAGCAGATCGAACTAAAATGGTTTGGCGTATTTTTTACATAGAAATACAGGTAATAAAAAAAAACAATTTGAAAAAAATGATAAAAACAATTTACAATAAAATAGATGTTTTTTTTTGAAAAAATCAAATACGGTATATATTATTCATATAGTCAATTGTTTTCATTATTTTTTTAAAATAGTGGGGGAAAAAATCTGTTTAAAAAAATTCCCTTTTTTTTTGGGCGGGGCCTTTTTCCCTCCTTGAAAATCTAACTTTTCCCGAATGCCCCGTACCCCATTATCCCGAGTGCCCTCTCGGAAAAGACAAAAAGAAAATCTTTTTGGGTTTTTCCCCTACAAATAACAATGTAAATGATGTTTTATGAAATAAAAACATGTACCTACAACATTAACTTAAAATTTTAAATAAATTTTTGAGGGGGGGAAAAAAAAGTTTATGAAAATATTCTTAAAAACTACAAAGGGGGCTTTTATTTTTTAAAAGGGGCACTTTAAAAAAAAACATTTTTCCCAATTTTAAAAAAAAAGTTTTTTTATCTTTTTCAGCTTTTAAAATTGGGGAAAAAAAAATAAGGGTTTTAAAGGGTTTTTTAAAAGCCTAACTCTGCCAAAAATTAAATTTTTTTTAAAAAAATTTTAAAAATTTAAAGTTTTGTTATTTTAAACCTTCCCGAAAAAAACAAACCCAAAATTTTTTGTCAAAAACATCAAATTAATCGGATATTACTTATTTTTTTAATTATCAAAATTTTTTTCGCTAAACCCTTAATAAACTGATTTAAAAAAATAAAACCCTTTGTGTTGGGTTTTTTTTTTTTAAAAGGGTGGAAAAAATCCAAAATTTTTTTTCTTGCAACATTAAAAAAAGGAAAATTCCCTTAAGGTTTCCGGGTTTCCTTTTTAAATTTTTATTTTCCCCTTCCAAAAAACTTTCCCACTGGGGGATTGGGGTTTAAAAAAAAAAAAAACACCTTTAACAATTAGATTTTTCCAAAAATATCTGGGCCCCCTTTTTATATTTTTGTTTTAATGTTTTCCCCCGTGGGGCTTCTGAAATTTGGGTTTTGTCCCCCCTTTTTTACCAATCCCCCCCCTTTTTTAAGAAAAACCATATTGATGTCTTAAAATGTCCCTTTTCCCTTCCCTTCTTTTTTAAAAAAAAAGGGCTACATTTGGTCCTTTTTGGGTACCCCCCTATACTTTTCAATTTTTTCCTGGAGAAAATGAATGAATTAGAAACCCCTTTGGGTTTTTTTATTAAAAGTCATTTAACCCCATTTAAGGAAAAAAATTTTTTTTAAATAGTTTTTTCAGGGCCCCTTTAAATTTTTAAGGGCAGTTTTAATTTTTTATAAAAAGAAACCCCGGGGGCAAATTTCAATTTTTGGGAACAAAGGGTTTTTTTCATACGTAAACCCCTTCTTGTCTGATAAAAATTTTTCCCCTTTTCCTAAAAATCGGAAAAATTTAAAGGGGGGTTTTTTGTAAATTTTTCTTTTCTGATAAGTTGGATCTGTTTTGACGATAAGATTGTTTGCGTCTCTGCCCTATTTCTTCACAACTTAAAGAAAAATAGTTTGTATATAAAATATATAAAAATCGTTCATTAAATAATTGTAGAACGTAACCAATTAATTTGCTCTAAAGTTAACTGGTATATGGCTCACCTACTGTTACAAACTTACGATATAACAAATTCATTTTTCCGTCTAAAACATATAGATTTAAATGCACAACATCTGATGTTTAAAATTCTTTTACCTTTCGACTCTTCTTCCAAGATTTAACCAGCACTTAGTGTCAATCATGACCCAAGTAGAAAAAGAAGGAAAGTGACCAAAGTAGAGAACGCATGATCGTGTATCGTGACCCGAGTAGAAAACGCCTGATCTCTGGACTGCGGGACTGGCACTACTGCACCTTATTCGTCAACGACATGTAATCGGCTAGACCTATCGTTTCAACGAGTAGAGTTTTTCTGGAGGTATAATAACCCAAAATAAGTTAAAGTAGGTCATGTTCGCGTACACTAACCTATCATTTATTTTAATGCAACATTTATCTTTAATTGATAACTTAGCCCCTGATATCATGCAACTTTTCAGAATGTGCCAAAATATCAAACAAAATATATTCTTTTTTAAAATTATCACCAACGGAGCTCTCTGTGAAACCATTGGAATGCAATCCGTGAACTTATGAGTTCAATAATATGCAAAACATGACTCCATCCACTAATGCCAACAACAACATCAACAATATCATTCATCTCAATCCTTCTTATTGATATTTCTGAATTTTTTAATTTTTCAGATTAACTTAAAAAAACAACAGTTTCTGAAATGAAAAGCTGTTCTTAAATATTGATCTAATATTTTGTGAAAATAATGAATAAGTTCTGTTTAAAAAAGTTGTGCAACTAGGGGTTTGCTTTATTCTGTATTTGTAGACTATTTGCCCTTTGCGTAGTAAAAATTTGCAATTTTCAACTTGTATCGCGCATCGTTTGTTTGATTTGGTTTTACGTCAAACCAACACAGCATAGGTTTGATGGTTAAAATGTAATTAATGTCAGTTTAAAACAAAATCATTTTTAAGAATATTGTAAAAATACATGTAAAAAATTTAAACAAACTTTGAATTTCTAAGTGATAACATTGTGGCTTTCGACTAGAAATAATTGTTACTGTTTTTAATTAATATCAATCTGTTAACACCAGAATAACATGTGTATAAGTTATTTATTATTTTTGGTATTCCACTAGAAAAACATTAAAATATAAAACAAAACATTGTGTTGTAACTCAATCAACCTTTAGCAAAACTCTAAATTAGCGCATGATAAAATGATTATATTTATAAGTTTTTGTGTTTAAAAAAATAACATGCATATTTATTTATTTATTTATTTATTTTGTAAAAATGTTTTACTATTTTTAGGCTGAACAACAATGCCTATATGGTTTCGCTTGTGGATCAATTCAATTTTTGTCAGAGTTATTGCCCTTGACTAATTAAAAGTTGGCAATATTCAGTTTGTGTCGTGCGTAGCTCAAAAAGTGTTACACCTAGAGTCATGCAATTTTTCAGGAATGTTTGTCAGCAGGTGTAGTTGTGCAAATGGATGTTTGCTTGTGGATATATTCAGCGCTTATAGAGTTATTGCCCTTGACGTAGTAAAATTTGCAAGTTTCAACTTGTGTCGCGAGTAGCTCAAAAAATACTTGACCTAGAGTCATGAAACTTTACAGAAATAGTGGTATGCATGTGTAGTTGGATTTGCCAAAAAATGTTAAAAATGAGCATTAATTATAATAATATGAAAATGAATGAGTCTTTGCGTAAATATCTTGCGCACCATACAATCTGACAATCATTCTTTATCGAGGAATTTATTCAATACATCACACACCAATTTAAAATTGTGTATTGGTGCGATGGATGTTCTTTTATGTGTTTGATTTATGACATATATATTTTCATAATATCACAATGTTACACCTATTCAAAAGAACGGGGAACTTATTTGCGGATTATTACAATCAGTTTCAGCTTTGTTTTGTTATGAACAGGCCTAATAATATCTGAAATTTTATATTTAAAAAAGTAGTTTTCATAGAAACTTGTAAAATTCTACTTAAAAACTTTGAAAACGCATGCCTTGTAGAAGAGTGTTTTCACAGAAAAATTGAATTGAATGATTTAATAATAGCATAATAAAAACAGTGCTCCCAAAATCGAAAGTAACAGTTTTGACTATTTGTGAATTGATAATATAACGCATTCATCAAATTTAGCACTGGCCCGTTGGCCCATGGCCGGTGAAAATTTTAATAAAAATTAGTTAAATAATTATATAGAAGAATAAATTCAGAACTGGAATTCGGGCAAGTAAATGCAAAATCTTCAATCCATTGACTGATAATGAAACTTCATTGTTCCCGAAAAGATGTGCTTTTATTTCTATCTTTGTAAACTACCACATAACACATTCGTAACGGTACTTTTGCTCAATTTCATTCTTTTCAATAATCGAGTTCAAGAATAGAGTAATTTATGTGTTTAATGAAATGGAATATAATGTATTTATGGAAGATATTGCTCACTGGTCAGCAAGATTCTATGCAAACCAATTATCTTCCATAAAATACGAACTTAATTTGATGAATTTCCCAATCTTGGTCACATTACATGTATTTAAGATAACAAAACTAAAGATATCGAAGCTAGATATCTGAAATGATAATACAGTCAGGCGTAGTATTAACATGTCACCAACTGTTCGGATGTTCGTAGACCTCCTCAACGCTATCTTATACTACAGGCACCGTGAACGACCTACAAAAAAAACTAGCCAGCATAGAGTGATGCCATTGCGCCAATATTTCATAAATGACTACAACACATTGCCAGCCTGTTTTGGGTACCCACAGGAAACGGCAAGCATTGTTTTTCAGGACATCAAATGCTTATGATTGTTTTGCCTTTCGCCCTTAATAAAGTTCTCCTCATTATACCTGTTATATATGGATTTATAACTCATTTTCTTAAACAGAATAGTGTAATTACATTTTTTAAATTATTTTAATATTTCCAATTATATGTACATGTATCGTGCTAATGTTTTGGTCTTAAAATCGGAGTTGTTGCAAAGCGTCGTTTTGCTGTATCATGTTAATATTTTGGTCTCGAAATCGGAGTGGTCGCAAACCGGGCTTTTACTGTATCACAATAATATTTTGGTCTCGAAATCGTGGTGGTCGCAAAGTGGGGTTTTATTGTATCACGTTAATGTTTTGGTATCGAAATCGGGGTGGTCGCAAAGCGGTGTTTTACTGTATCACGTTAATGTTTTGGTATCGAAATCGGAGTAGTCGCAAAGCTGGATTTTACTGTATCACGTTCATGTTTTGGTATCGAAATCGGGGTAGTCGCAAAGCGGGGTTTTATCTATCACATTAATGTTTGGTCTCGTAATCGGAGTGGTCGCAAAGCGTGGGTTTGTGGTTTGTGATCGAAATCGGGGTGGTCGCAAAGCGCGGTTTTACTGTATCATGTTAATGTTTTAGTTTCCAAATTGGGAGTGGTCGCAAAGCGGGATTTTATTGTATCACTTTAATGTTTTATAAAGTAGATCTGATATTCATTCGGTGAAATCTGTTTTAATTAATATCCATGTAAAAATCACATATAAAATAGGCATGCGTTTCCAAAGTCCATAAGTATGTATTTTGATCATTTTTACAGTACAAAAAGCAAATGTCATTTTTATTTTTTAAATCAGTAATCCACTTAAAATCTTGAAATAAAGTAAAATATATGTATATTCATTTCATATCGTCGACCTTACGAAGGCAATATATTTATTATTTAATTTTTTCGTAATTTGACACTGTCACCTGTTCATATCCTTGATTTGTTAATTTAATTCAACACACTATAGGTTTTTCTATTTAGTTGAAAATAAACACCGTTAAAGCATAAAAACACATGTACCTGGTAACTATAATGTATATTTTAATAGAAAACAAAGACAAATATACCCATTTATGCCAAAAGCTTTCAAATTAACTATTCAAAAATTATCTATATGATTAAAATATACATGTATATAACACACAATATCATAGTAATCATGCATATTTCTATAATATCAACAGTTACACATTCATGAATTAACTTTTCAGAACAGTGTAAGCAAATGCATCTAATGCCGATATTTAATAACACTAGCTTTTTAACAACAGATTCAGAAACGAAGAAACTTAACCAGTGTTGAATCTACATGCACGCAAATAAGGTTCTGAAGAAGTTACTCCCACTTATCTGAAACAGCTGAAGATAAGAACCTTTGAATTAAACGTATTGTATCTTAATTGCAATGAAATTATTTGAATTTATGTCAAAACTCTTCAATACAGTTTTACTGTGATTTTTCCATTTCAAGAAATTTTATTTTAGTTCTGTAGGAGTGATTTCGCACCCTGGATTTCATGCCTAGCTGTACATGCATGTACTCCATTTTGTTCCGGATATCAATAGTAAGAATCGAAAGACACACTGGGAAGCAATATGACTGAATTATGGAGATTCTAAACTTAAACAAATTTAAAGCATAAAGTTATAGATATGTACCAGCGCCTATCACTATTGGATAGCACAAACCTGGCTATCAACAGTTCTTGGTTCGAGGGATTTCAATTCTAGTAGCCTCCTTTTAAGATATTTCTGCTCAATTTGCTTCCTCTTTATTTCCTCTTCGATTTCTCTTCTTTGAGTTAGAAGGTGCCCCATACTAGTGCTATCACCGTTTCCAGAGAGTCCCGTCGGCTGCCGTCGGTATGATATTAGACTGTGACTGTCCATATCGTCTATATCTCTACATGTCATTGAAGTATAAGGTCTAGCTGACAATGTTTCGTTTTCGTCTTCTAGTCTTTCTATCCATTCTTTTAACTCTGTATTCTCTCGTTTCACGAGTTTTACCGAAGTTCTCTCTCGCTGGAGACTATCCTGTGAAAGAAGAAAACATATCATACCAGATATATCAATACCGCATTTACGTGTCCTGCTTTCTAAAATGGTAGTCCTCACATATATTACCACTACACATGTATGTGGCTGAACAGTTACTTTTATTTCTTTCTGTCAGAGGAGCAGCGTGCTCGTCATACGTCTGTGCTGGAGAGCATTTTTTTTATGAAGGGAAAGGTCGCGTTTACCAAGATCTTAGATCTTTTGAATGACTGTGGCAGACAGAAGTGTTAACGATAGTCATTATGATATTGAAAAAAAAGTTTAAGAATGAAATAAAAAAGAAAAATTTATTTTTTTTCATTAAAAATGTCGGATCCTTTTAATCAAATAGAAATCATTCTGCTTTCTGATAAAGCTAATGGAATTAATCTATTGGAAATAACTGGTATATATGTATTTTTTCATAAAATTTTTCAATAAAAGTGTGTGTTTCGAGAGATCCGAAACTTTGCATCAATGATTAAACTTTATCTTATGTATAATTAAGCTTTTGCTTTAATAAAGTCTCATCAACTGAACTTCTTTGATTCCTGTTTCATGAGTACCTCTAGTTTCTTATTCTCTTCTGTTAGGCTTTTGTTAGATTCTTCATGCTGACGTTGAATCTGCTTTAACTTTTCTATTTCTTCTTCCTTGTGCCTCGATGATTCTTTTAGTTTATTCAACTCGTCGTTTGTTTGTTGTAAGTTTGACGCTAGTTTCTTTTCTAACTTCTGAGAAGATTTTTCTTGTTCCTGCAAGAGAGTTCTTACATGAACGGAAGATACTTTTTCTCAATATTCTGTATTATACTTTATACTAAGACATACAATCTGTCATGGCCAAATATAACTTGCATCGCTTACATAAACCAGTCAGTATGTGGCAATGGTTTATTCTTGAAAATACAAATGTTCATACTAGATGCACATACCAGATATCTAAATGTACGTACATGTATTACATTGAAACAGCTATCAATATTGCATGACCTATTAATCCAGGTATGTGCTCATTATATCTGTATAAAGATAAGAGCTTTTTGCCATGACATAAACAAATAAAATCAAAGCACAGAAGGAACTGAATTTGTTTGGGTCTCAGAAAGTCAGAAAGGTGAAGGTTGTGAGATTATAAAACAATTTGTTTTTGTATAGTGCCACCAGTGCTTTCCAGCGTTTTAATTGTAGTAGATTGGCTATAAGACTAATTGCAACATTGATATTCAATCCAATGTTTATTTGACTCAAATAGTTTGGGAAAAAAATGAGTTGCCTTAACTGGGATTGAACTCCAGACCTCTCGCTTCCTAAGCGAGCGCGCAAACCCCTCGGCCACGGTGAATGTATATGTTAATGGCTTGAAGAAAGCCATATTATTCTAAATTAGGGTTTGTAACGACAACGCTTGTGTAAATAGTCATGGCGCTTACTATAAGCATGTATATCTATAAAGAATAAAACAATATTAGAAATCTTCGACCATTCGGGAATTACTTTGCTTGAAAATTAATACGCCTGTCATGTGACCATATTTACGCAGTGATCTCCCCTGAATTTTTCGGCCTTTGTGTTACATATAAAGGGAAGTAACCGCTTCAATAAAGCGGACTACTTTCGGCAATTGCAATTAACAGCATTAGAGTCTGAAATTTCGCTACCATTATTTGTTTGGTCTGACGACCCAAACAAATAAAAATGAATTTGTGTAATGGATTTGCCCTTGTTTGACGTTTTGGAGCAGTCCATTCAAAATTTAAAGGATTATGATATCATAATACTTTAATTTAGCAATAAGGAGCTTGGTGCGACTGCATGGATATGCAGACTGGCCTGGTTCTATACTTGAGGTTATGTCTTAATCACTGTCGGATCAAGGAGGTAGATTAGGGGTTACGATATGTACAGTCATATATTTTACTGGTGCTGATAAAAAAAAATAACGTCAAACATCACAATATTAGTTATAAAGATTTTTGACAGGTTATATGGCCCTGTATAAACGGTTATGTGTAAATATAACCCGGGCCGCTAGACGAGAGTTATATTGCAAACAACCGTTTATATACGGTCATTCTATTTTCATTTACACATACTTAAAACGAATATGCAAAAGTGAATTTGTAGGGTCATTATGGGATGATTATCCACCTATACTGAATATCAGGGAGGACAATTGGGGTCACCCTTTGTCGGGCCCAAAACAATGAATTAATATTTTTTCAGATAGATATTCTCACCTGTTTCATAGTAACAAGCTGTTTTTGTCTCTGTGCATCATTGTCTTGCAATTCTTTGAGTGTCTTTGACGTAGGGCTGCTTCGCCGGTCATTAGCTAGCTCAGGTCCTTCGTTCAAATATTTGGTAGTTTCATGGATTCTAATTGGTGTAAGAAACTGAAAACAATATAATATTATCATAGATAATTTATTATATATAATATAGAAATGCGTCTACACAAAGTGAGAACAGTGACGGAATGTCATGATGCATTCCTGTTTTCCTAAACATAAAACAAGTAAACAAATAACAAGAAAAGACATAAATGTATACAGGACAGGTCTATCAATATTTAGGGTATTGTATTCTACTTATTTCCAAAGATTAATTACCGTTTTATGAATAACAACATTTTACAAAACAATTACAATTTAACCATATGAAAAACTAGGAAGATACAACATCTGAAACCTGCAATTCTTTGAGTGTTTTTGACGTAGGGCTGCTTCGCCGGTCATTAGCTAGCTCAGGCCCTTCGTTCAAATATTTCGTAGTTTCATGGATTCTAATTGGTGTAAGAAACTGAAAACAATATAATATTATCATAGATAATTTATTATATATGATATAGAAATGCGTATACACAAAGTGAGAACAGTGACGGAATGCAATGATGCATTATCGTACCCGTAAATATCACTTTAAACGGTTAGTACATGTTACTATAGGAATATAATAATGGGATAACGGGACTTTAAGATCTTGAATGACTGACGTAGAGAAGAGAAAATATGTTTGACTAAATACGAGACCCAATTTGTGTTGAAGGATTAAAGGTTGAAAACAACAATCAGTATTTAGTCATATTTTATTTATTAATGATTACTACCCTATGACATCTTCATAATTGCAGCCTATATTATTTTATACAATAATCAGAATAATCATAAGTAGCAGAAATTATCATACGTTAAAATTTCGTCAATGAAGGACAGTTTAAATATCTGTATTATAAAATAGGAGGAACATAGAGATGTCCTCATAAGAGACATGTCATTTGAGATATCAAAGGCCCATTATGTTTCCAGAATTACTTCTTTTCTTTCTTAAAAAGTATTTTAATCAAAGTGTCCTTATAGTTTCCAAAAAAATACTCAATGGCCAATTACCTGAACCATCGTTTGCTTTTTTTTCTCTTTTTTTTTGCAATTAGTACATTTACTTACGATGATTTATATTTTGTACGGAAGTCAAAATACTGCTTTGTTTATGTTTTGCTTCTTTTATGTCAGTCATTTCACATTTAGGTACCTTTTTCAGGCAACAAACATCTAGCATTTCTCTAAAACCATTAGTTAAACATTATAAAATTCATGAGAAGTAAACATTTATTTGTTTCTGAGGCATAATGTGCCTTTAAGGTATGGTGTACAGAAAAATAGATTGTTAAGTTATTGTTAAGGAAATTAAGAAGTAAGAGTTTCACGTAGATAGATTGTAGTGAAGGTTGCATTGATACATTGTACTAAATCCTATTGGAGATAAATATAATGTTGATACAATAGAAATATAACTGTATGAGGAAAAATTAGTAAAATACAAAAGCACAGTTCTAATTTATATCTTGGATATTTATCTAGTACGTTCGTTTCGTATTAAATAGTTCAATATACTTTATTCGAAAAGTTAAGCACATCTCTGAATGTTCTCATTAGATTATGAATGAAATATCATGCCCTCAATGAATTTGCTTTTAAGTGGAACAGTACTTTTGAAAGCACACATAATTTTCACATAATTTCTTTTCAAGTATGGACTCAGAAAGCTAGTTTTTTACATGAATAAAGTAAACATATATTGTCAAACATTTTTGTTCCTTTTAATTGTTTCAATTCAAATTCTAAAAAAAGGAAAAGTTAGTACATGTTTTCTTATACTTGTTCAGTGTCGTATGCATTTTAATATTCTAAACTTATCTTTAGTCTTCGTAAAAAAGAACCTAGCAACTATCGACAGCAAATATTCTTTTGTAAAATTCTATCTCAATGAAGTGAAAAGTAAATAAAAATGAATGACTTGATTCAGTAATAAGCTATTTTATGTAGCAATTTGAAAATCAAGCAATTAACAAATAACGAATGCTTACGGAAACGTTAAAGGACCTCCAAAAAGTGAGATCATGATGTTTAAGTCGTCTGGTTTTAATAATTCGATTAAATTAGACGTCAGCATGAAGAATCTAACAAAAGCCTAACAGAAGAGAAAAAGAAACTAGAGGTGAGCCGCGGCACGACAAAACCAACATAATGGGTTTGCGAACAGCATGGATCCAGACCAGCCTGCGCATCCGCGCAGTCTGATCAGGATCCATGCTGTTCGCTTACAAACCCTATACAAGTAGAGAAACTGATAGCGAACAGCATGGATCCTGATCAGACTGCGCGGATGCTCAGGCTGGTCTGGATCCATGCTGGTCGCAAACCCATTATGTTGGTTTTGTCGTGATGCAGCTCAATCTAAAACTAAAACATACCGACATGTCAGGTGAGTTGTGACTCTCTGAATTACAATTAAAGATATAAGTAAGAATGTGACGACTAGAGAAATCCATGGCAAAATGTTACAAGCTATTTTATGTAACTAACATTGAAAATCAAAATGTTACAAGGTATTTCAAATAAATAACATTGAAATTCCATTGTCACAAAACATGTTAAGTTTAAAACAGTTCACTTCCAGATTTGTGTTTCTTTTTCTTCCAGATTTGGGTTTATTTCTATTAACCCATTGCTTCATGAGCATTTTGTGAAAAATGGCTGTTTTCATTGAAAAGTCTCCCGTTACAAGTTCAAATTGCTATAATACTATAAAAACTGCTTCAACACTAATCAAACTTGGCACAAATGTTGACTGGACCATTGTCCTTGCAACAACATGCTCAGACTTAAATTTTCTGTTACCATGGCAACGAGGGGACATCTCAAAATTGCCAAAAATCACTATTTTGCGCTGATTTTTTCCATCAAAATTGATTTCAAAGTGCTGCAACTTATCATAGGATTGAGATAGAGTCAAATGCTTTTCAGCGTTGGTTACACGTTACCTTATGATCAATCTGGGGTCATTTACAGCCTCTCACAAGTCCAAAATTTTCTTGGCGATGAGGGGGACTCCGCCCCCTTCAAACCCCCCAAAACAGAAGGGGGCACATCCCCCTTCTGGCAACCCCCTGATGTATCTTTTGGTTGGGGGGCCGTGCCGAAAAAGAGGTCAATTTTTTTAACAACATTTCTCAAACAAAAACAAGTGTTTGGGGCCTAAATAAGGCATTTTTTCATCATTTGAGACAACAAAAAAGGGGGGGGGGTGAAAAAGGCGTTAAAAGGCGTGTATATGAAGTAATGGGTTAACTGAAAATGATGAAAATACTTGAAATTACCCTAAATCGCGTTTTTTAATGTTTAAACATGGCCTGTTCATATAAATTTGAAGAAAAATTGTTGTTTTGTAGATTTTTTTATTTTTTTCATTAACTGAAAATGATTGAAAATACTTGAAATTACCCTAAATCGCGTTTTTTCATGTTTAAACATGGCCTGTCATATAAATTTGAAGAAAAATTGTTGTTTTGTAGATTTTTTGATTTTTTTCATTAACTGAAAATGATGAAAATACTTGAAATTACCCTAAATCGCGTTTTTTCATGTTTAAACATGGCCTGTCATATAAATTTGAAGAAAAAATTGTTTTGTTTTGTAGATTTTTTTATTTTTTTTCATTAACCCATTGCTTCATGAGCATTTTTGTGAAAAATGGCTGTTTTCATTGAAAAGTCTCCCGTTACAAGTTCAAATTGCTATAATACTATAAAAAACTGCTTCAACACTAATCAAACTTCGCACAAATGTTGACTGGACCATTGTCCTTGCAACAACATGCTCAGACTTAAATTTTCTGTTACCATGGCAACGAGGGGACATCTCAAAATTGCCAAAAATCACTAATTTGCGCTGATTTTTTCCATCAAAATTGATTTCAAAGTGCTGCAACTTATCAATGGATTGAGATAGAGTCAAATGCTTTTCAGCGTTGTTTACACGTTACCTTATGATCAATCTGGGTCATTTACAGCCTCTCACAAGTCCAAAAATTTTTCTTGGCGATGAGGGGGACTCCGCCCCCCTTCAAACCCCCCAAAACAGAAGGGGCACATCCACCTTCTGGCAACCCCCCTGATGTATCTTTTGGTTGGGGGCCGCGCCGAAAAAGAGGTCAATTTTTTTAACAACATTTCTCAAACAAAAACAAGTGTTTGGGGCCTAAATAAGGCATTTTTTCATCATTTGAGACAACAAAAAAGGGGGGGTGAAAAAGGCGTTAAAAGGCGTGTATATGAAGTAATGGGTTAAAAAAGTAACACACATTGTTCTAACGAGTAAAAGTGACCACCATGTCTTAGGCAATTATATTATTCATAGCATCCCAAAAGATTCAGTGATTTTTTTCTCTTACTCCGGCAGGCTCTTATTCCGTTAAAAGTAAGGAGTAGAATTGAAATGGTAAAAAAGTAAATTATTCAATTACAAAAACTCATATACATTCTGAACAGTTTTACTTGTGTTCAACTATATAATTGTACAACTAATATATACTTGTATATGCGTGCATGCATATTCCTGAAGTTTGGACTTTTGAAGATATAATAGAGTTATCATTTAGCTTTTACTTGTTTTAATGGTATGATAGCTTTTATACTTTTTTTTTTACATATTAAACTAGAAGAAAATTATTAGCGTATAGATATATATTTCTGTATGAAAATTTACTTAATGCTTCTTACAGACACAAAGTAAGAAAATAAATTTAAACCTTTCTTCTTCTTCTAATTTTATATAAACAAGATATGTTTGTAAAACATGTATGCCCCCTATCAGCAGCCAATTAGTCATGTGATAAGGTTATTATGCATGACGTCTGACCCAGTGATCAAACAATTAATAAGGGTTATAAAGTATCTACTGGTCATGACCTTGACCTTTGACCCCTTGACCCAAAACTCAATAGGGGTCATCTGCTGGTCACGACCAATCATCATACAAAGTTTGAAGTTCCTAGGCCTAGGCGTTTTTAGTAAATTGATCAGAAACCGTTTTTACCTACAAGGTCAATGTGACCTTGACCTTTGACCCCTTGACCCCAAAATCAATAGGGGTCATCTGCTGGTCATGACCAATCACCATGCCAAGTTTGCAGTTCTTAGGCCTAAGGGTTCTCTTATTATTGATCGGAAAACCGTTTTAACATACAAGGTCAATGTGACCTTGACCTTTGACCCCAAAATCAATAGGGGTCATCTGCTGGTCATGACCAATCACCATGCCAAGTTTGAAGTTTCTAGGCCGAAGTGTTCTTTAGTTATTGATCAGAAACCGTTTTTACTTACAAGGTCATTGTGACCTTGACCTTTGACCCCTGATCCCAAAATCAATAGGAGTAATCTGCTGGTCATGACAAATCACCATACCAATTTTGAAAGTTCCTAGGGCCTAAGCGTTCTTGAGTTATTGATCAGAAACCGTTTTTACTTAAAAGGTCAATGTGACCTTGACCTTTGACCCCAAAATCAATAGGGGTCATCTGCTGGTCATGACCAATCACCATGCCAAGTTTGAAGTTTCTAGGCCGAAGCGTTCTTTAGTTATTGATCAGAAAACCGTTTTTACTTACAAGGTCATTGTGACCTTGACCTTTGACCCCTTGATCCCAAAATCAATAGGAGTAATCTGCTGGTCATGACAAATCACCATACCAAGTTTGAAGTTCCTAGGCCTAAGCGTTCTTGAGTTATTGATCAGAAACCGTTTTTACTTAAAAGGTCAATGTGACCTTGACCTTTGACCCCTTCACCTAAAACTCAATAGGGGTCATCTGCTGGTCATGACCAATCATCACACAAAGTTTGAAGTTCCTAGGCCTAAGCGTTTTTAGTTAATTGATCGGAAACCGTTTTTACCTACAAGGTCAATGTGACCTTGACCTTTGACCCCTTGACCCCAAAATCAATAGGTCATCTGCTGGTCATGACCAATCACCATACCAAGTTTTGAAGTTCCTAGGCATAAGGGTTCTTAAGTTATTGATCCAAAAGCATTTTTTACCTACAAGGTCAATGTGACCTTGACCTTTGACCCCTAGACCCCAAAATCAATAGGGGTCATCTACTGATCATGACCAATCACCATCTCAAGTTTGAAGTCCCTAGGCCTAAGGGTTCTTTCATTATTGATCGGAAACCGTTTTTACCTACAAGGTCAATGTGACCTTGACCTTTGACCCCTTAAACGCCAAAATCAATAGGGGTCATCTGATTGGTCATAACCAATCACCATACCAAGTTTGAAGTTCCTAGGCCTAAGGGTTCTTTTGTTATTGATCAGAAACCGTTTTTAATTAAAAGGTCAATGTGACCTTGACCTTTGACCCCTTGACCCCAAAATCTATACGGGTCATCTACTGATCATGACCAATCACCATACCAATTTTGAAGTTCATAGGCCTTAAGGTTCTTTAGTTATCACTCGGAAACCGTTTTTACCTACAAGGTCAATGTGACCTTGACCTTTGACCCCTTGACCCCAAAATCAATAGGGGTCATCTACTGATCATGACCAATCACCATACCAAGTTTAATGTTCCTAAGCCTTAAGGTTCTTTAAGTATTGATCGGAAACCGTTTTTACCTACAAGGTCAATGTGACCTTGACCTTTGACCCCTTGACCCCAAAATCAATAGGGGTCATCTACTGATCATGACCAATCACCATACCAAGTTTGAAGTTCCTAGGCCTTAAGGTTCTTTAGTTATTGATCGGAAACTGTTTTTTGCTTTTAAGGTCAATGTGACCTTGACCTTTGACCCCTTGACCCCAAAATCAATAGGGGTCATCTACTGGTCATGACTAATCACCATACCAAGTTTGAAGTTCCTAGGCCTTAAGGTTCTTTAGTTATTGATCGGAAACTGTTTTTTGCTTTCAAGGTCAATGTGACCTTGACCTTTTGACCCCTGACTCCAAAATCAATAGGGGTCATTTACTGGTCATGACCAATCACCATACCAAGTTTGAAGTTCCTAGGCCTTAAGGTTCTTTAGTTATTGATCGGAAACCGTTTTTGCTTTTCAAGGTCAATGTGACCTTGACCTTTGACCCCTTGACCCCAAAAATCAATAGGGGTCATCTACTGGTCATGACCAATCACCATACCAAGTTTGAAGTTCCTAGGCCTTAAGGTTCTTTAGTTATTGATCGGAAACCGTTTTTGCTTTCAAGGTCAATGTGACCTTGACCTTTGACCCCTTGACCCGAAAATCAATAGGGGTCATCTACTGGTCATGACCAATCACCATACCAAGTTTGAAGTTCCTAGGCCTAAGGGTTCTTTAGTTATCACTCGGAAACCATTTGGTCTACGGACCGACGGACCGACAGACCGACGGACCGACGGACCGACGGACCGACAAGTGCAAAGCAATATACCCCCTTTTTTTCAAAATGGGGGCATAACTAATTAGAAAAGATTTAAAATCAAAATGTGTAAAAGTCAGAAAAAGGAAGGTCTTTGTGTATTATGTAAGGTTTTTATTGCATCTATACGTATTTATTTTATGCAGTATAAAATCGTTTCAACTCCCTGATAAATAATACTATCATTAAGCCCTTTATTGTTTCTTCAAATATTTTTAATTGAAATTGTAAAACTTTTATACTTTTAAACGAATTTTGTTCCATGTTAAAAATCATCAAAAGTTTATATTTTTAATGTATAGATGTTGTTCCGACTTAATGTTATTATAGTCTGTGTGATCCACTCATCAGTTGGTCAATATTTTTGTTCGATATTAAAGACATTAAAAACAGATATTAAGTTTTAAAAACTTTGTTTGACTGTTTTTAGGTAAGTACATGTATAAAGATCAATTAAATTTTGGTAACGAGCGATCGAACTAAAATGGTGGCCGTAATTTTGTATACAGAAATACAGGTAATAAGAAAAAAACAATTTGAAAAAAAAGATAAAACAATTAACAATAAAATAGATGTTTTTTGAAAAAAAATCAAATACGGTATATATTATTCATATAGTCAATTGTTTTCATTACTATACGTATGTTACATAGTGGGAAGAAATCTTGTTTCAAATATCTTACTTTTTGGCGGCCTGTCATCCTTGAACTCTAACTTTTTCTTGCCAAATACTCGTACCCATTATCCCGCAGTGCATCTCGGAATGACACGAAACTCTTATTGGGTTTTCTCTACAAATACAAGTGTAAATGATGTTTTGATGAAATATACATGTATTCTACAAACATTAACTTAAATTTTTCTATTATTGAGGGACAAAACAGTGATGATATATTCTACACTAAAAAGTCTCATCAAATTGACACTAAGAAAAACATCCAATCTAAAAACAGTTTCATCCTTTCTCAGCTTTTCATCCTTCTCAGGTTTAAAATGTTATACTCTGCCAACATTACTTTTATGCCTCCAGAAAATTTTCGGGGGGGGGGGGGGGGGGGGGGGGGCATATAGTCGTCGGGTTGTCCGTCAATTCCGTACGTACGTACGGTCCCGAATTCGTGTCCGGCCCATAACTTTGTTATTTGAAGTCGGATTTTAAAACTATTTCACAGAAATGATCACCATATGAGACGACGTGTCACGCGCAAATTTGGGTCGCCTCCTTGGAAGGTCAAGGTCACAGTATGACCTTGCAGCAAAATCGTGTCCGACCCATAACTTCGTTATTTGAAGTCGGATTTTAAAACTGTTTCACAGAAATGATCACCATATTGAGACACGTGTCACGCGCAACATTTGGCTCGCTACCTTGAAGGTCAAGGTCACAGCATGACCTTGCAGCAAAATCGTGTCCGGTCCATAACTTCGTTATTTGAAGTCGGATTTTACAACTATTTCACAGAAAATGATCACCATAATGAGACAATGTGTCGCGGCGCAACATTTTGGTCGCCACCTTGAAGGTCAAGGTCACCGGCATGACCTTGCAGCAAAATCGTGTCCCGGCCCATAACTTCGTTACTTGAAGTCGGATTTAACAACTATTTCACAGAGATGATCACCATATTTAATCCACGTGTCGCATGCAACATTTGGGTTGCTACCTTGACAGCATGACCTTGCAGCAAATCATGTCCGGCCCCATAACTTCGTTATTTGAAGTTGGATTTTAGACAACTATTTCACAGAAATGATCACCATATTGAGAACAATGTGTCGTGCACAATCATTTGGGTTTATTTTTACACTTTTGATACTTTGGTCTGTGACATAACTCTTTGACACTACAAGAGGTATACCTTCCTGTGTCCAAAACCTATTGGGGAAAGCATCACCCGTTCAACCGGCTCTTGTTTTAGAAAAATTTCAAATTGAAAGTTGTTGATAAAAACTTCAGAATAAAACAAACAAACTTTTTGTCAAGATCTCATTAATCGGAAATATTATTATTGTTAAATATCAATACATAGTTTCGCTAACCATTATTTACTGATGAAATCTAAACGTAGTGTTGTAAATATGATGGAAAAGTCCAACTTACTTGCAACATTAACAAATTCTTCAGAAAATTATATTTCTTTCAAATCTTCCCACTGGTCGGGCGCCGTCCCCTTTTGCTGGTAAAATTTTATATTTGTGGCCCTCTTGTGCAAATGATTTTCCCACTGAGAAAGACCTGGGTTTAGAAAACCTTCAACAATTAGATTATCCACAATATCTGCCATTTTATATCTTGTTTTAATGTTTTCCAGTATGGTCTGAAGTAGTTGTGGTCTCCTTTTCACCTAATCCACACCTTTTTTAGAAATCCATATTGATGTCTTAAAATGTCCTTTCCGTTTTCAAACTTTTTTCCAAAAATGTTGAATGCAGTAGGATGAACTACATTCGGTCTTTTTGGCTATCCTATATACTTACATTTTTTACCTAGAGACATGAATGAATTTTTGGCAACCTTCGATTTGTACATTATCAGTTATGAACTCATTAAGAAAGATTGTTACATGTACTAGTATTCAGTCTGTTTTGAAGATAGTTCTGTTTAATTTTCTACAAATGAACCCGGAACATTGCAATTTTGCACACGCTTCTTACATACGTACCCTTTACTTGTCTGATAAATATTTCCCTTACCTATATCGGATTTAAGGGGGATTTCTAATGTTTGGCTTTCTGATAAGTTGGATCTGTTTTTGACGATAAGATTTGTTTGCGTCTATGCTCTATTTTCTACTCAATTTTTTAAAAAAACAACATTGTTTATAAAATATATAAAAAAATCGTTCATAAAATTTTATCTGTCCGAACGTAACCAATTAATTCTGCTCTAAAGTTTTACTGGTATATAGGCTCACCTACTGTATAACAAAGACGAGTTGAACTTTCATTTTTTTCCGTCTAAAACATATAGATTTTTAAATGCACAACATCTGATGTTTTAAAATTCTTTTACCTTTCGACTCTTCTTCCCAAGATTTAACCAGCACTTAGTGTCAATCATGACCCAAGTAGAAAAAGAAGAAAGTGACCAAAAGTAGGGAACGCATGATCGTGTATCGTGACCCGAGTAGAAAACGCCTGATCTCTGGACTGAGGGACTGGCACTATACTGCACCTTATTCGTCAACGGACATGTAATCGGCGCTAGACCCATCGTTTCAAACGAGTAGAGTTTTTTTTGGGAGGTATAATAACCCCAAAATAAGTTGAACTAGGTCATATTCGCGTACACTAACTATCATTTATTTTTAGATGCAAACATTTATCTTTAATTGATAACCTTAGCCCCTGATATCATGCAACTTTTCAGAATGTTGCCAAAAATATCAAAACCAAAATATATTCTTTTTTAAAATTATCACCAACGGAGCTCTCTGTGAAACCATTGGAAATGCAATCCGTGAACTTATGAGTTCAATAATATGCAAAACATGACTCCGCCCACTAATGGACAAACAACAACATCAACAAATATCATTCATTCTCAATTCCTTCTTATTGATATTTCTGAATTTTTTTATTTTTTTAGATTAACTTAAAAAAAACAACAGTTTCTGAAATGAAAAGCTTGTTCTTAAAAATTGATCTAATATTTTTGTGAAAATAAAGAATAAGTTCTGTTTAAAAAAGTTGTGCAACAAGGGGTTTGCTTTATTCTGTATTTGTAGAGTAATATTGCCCTTTGCGTAGTAAAAATTTGCAATTTTCAACTTGTATCGCGCATCGTTTGTTTTGGTTTTACGTCAAACCAACACAGCATAGGTTAGATGGTTAAAATGTAATTGGTCAGTTTAAAACAAAATCATTTTTAAGAATATTGTAAAAATACATGTAAAAAAAATTAAACAAACTTTGAATTTCTAAGTGATAACATTGTGGCTTTCCACTTGAAATAATTGTCACTGTTTTTAATTAATATCAGTCTGTTAACGCCAGAATAACATGTGTATAAGTTATATATTATTTTTGGTATTCCACTAGAAAAACATTAAAATATAAAACAAAACATTGTGTTGTAACTCAATCAACCTTTAGCAAAACTCTAAATTAGCGCATGATAAAATGATTATATTTATAAGTTTTTGTGTTTAAAAAAATAACATGCATATTTATTCATTTATTTTGTAAAAATGTTTTACTATTTTTAGGCTGCACAACAATACCTATATGGTTTTGCTTGTGGATCAATTCAATTTTTGTCAGAGTTATTGCCCTTGACTAATTAAAAGTTGGCAATATTCAGTTTGTGGCGTGCGTAGCTCAAAAAGTGTTACACCTAGAGTCATGCAATTTTTCAGGAATGTTTGTCAGCGGGTGTAGTTGTGCAAATGGATGTTTGCTTGTGGATATATTCAGCGCTTATAGAGTTATGGCCCTTGACGTAGTAAAATTTGCAAGTTTCAACTTGTGTCACGAGTAGCTCAAAAAATACTTGACCTAGAGTCATGAAACTTTACAGAAATAGTGTTATACATGTGTAGTTGTGCATCTGGATTTGCCAAAAAATGTTAAGCATGAGCATTAATTATAATTATATGAAAATGAATGATTCTTTGCGTAAATATCTTGCGCACCATACAATCTGACAATTATTCTTTATCGAGGAATTTATTCAATACATCCCACACCATTTTAAAATTGTGTATTTGTGCGATAGATGTTCTTTTATGTGTTTCAATTTATGACATATACATTTTCATAATATCACAACGTTACACCTATTCAAATGAACGGGGAACTTATTTGCGGATTATTACAATCAGTTTCAGCTTTGTTTTGTTATGAACAGGCCTAATAATATCTGAAATTTTATATTTAAAAAAGTAGTTTTCATAGAAACTTGTAAAATTCTACTTAAAAGCTTTGAAAACGCATGCCTTGTAGAAGAGTGTTTTCACAGAAAAATTGAATTGAATGATTTAATAATAGCATAATAAAAACAGTGCTCCCAAAATCGAAAGTAACAGTTTTGACTATTTGTGAATTGATAATATAACGCAGTCATCAAATTTAGCACTGGCCCGTTGGCCCATGGCCGGTGAAAATTTTAAGAAAATTAGTTAAATAAATAGTAGAATAAATTCAGAACTGGAATTCGGGCAAGTAAATGCAAAATCTTCAATCCATTGACTGATAATGAAACTTCATTGTTCCCGAAAAGATGTGCTTTTATTTCTATCTTTGTAAACTACCACATAACACATTCGTAACGGTACTTTTGCTCAATTTCATTCTTTTCAATAATCGAGTTCAAGAATAGAGTAATTTATGTGTTTAATGAA